GAATGGTTTCCGTGAGCCCTGATGAGAAAGAATTTGTTCAGTGGGGATTTGGGTAGAATGTCCTGTAAATGTTTATTTCCAAGAAACCCAATTTGTTCCAGAGTTCTTTGTATAGCCATTTTATTTCCTATCTAATTTTCTGTTTGGAAAGGATTCTGTCCCATTGGTGCCATCAGGGGGTGTGGTTGAAATCTCCGGTGATTTATGGAGTTGGCTTATTAAATCCATTTGCTTGATACAATAAGGTTTGCCTTAATGGATCTGAAGTGCACCTAAGGTTGGTGCACATATTATTTAAAAATGTTATCTCTTCTTGTTTGACTTGTTGCCCTTCACCATTATTAATATATTATATGAACCCTCTTTTGTCCTTCACTTACTTTTGTGGTTTAAACGAAAATCGTCTGAAATTAGACGGCCACGCCAGCCCGCTTCTTTGTTTGGCTTTCACTTGCTGGGAATTACTGGACTTCCCACCCTTTTACTTTTTGTCTATATGCACCTTTCGCAGGTTAGATGTGTTTCCCTGAAGACAGCCCATAATACTTGGCCTGTATTTCTTTAATCCATTCAGCCAGGCCTATGTCTTCTTGGAAAGTGGAGAGTTAAAAGCCCATTCACATTTATTGAGAGGAACGATAGTTAAGTAGAATTATGTTTCATTCTGTTGGGTTGGATGTTGTGCTTTGATTTTCTGTCTTGAGCCATTGTAATATCTGGCCTTTAATCTTGGTTTTGGTTGTTTGTTTATTCAATGAGTTTTATTATGGTGGCTCCGTGCGTAACACTGTTTATTGAGATTTCTTGTAGGGCTGGTCTTGTCTGGTGAATTCTCTGAGACTTTGCATGTCTGAAGAATGTCTTATTTCTCCTTCATATACAGCTTATTTTGGCAGGGAAGAAAAGAATCCTAGCCTGGGCATTGTTTTGTTTCAGAAGAGTGAGAATGGGGCCCCAGTCTCTCCTTGCTTGTAAAGTCTCAGTAGAGAAGTCTGTAGTTATTCAAATTGGCTTTCCCTTGTATGTTACTTGCTTCTTTCGTCTTACAGCTCTTAGAAGGGCCTCTTTAGTTGACATTTTGGTCAGTCTGATGACTGCGTGTTGTGACGTCTTCCTGTTCTCATTGAATCTCCCAGGGCTCCTCTGAGCTTCTTGAACTGGTATATCGAGATTTTGAGCAAGGCCTGGGAAATTTTCCTCTATTATATCTTCAAATAGCTTGTCCAATCCTTGAGTGTTTTCTTCTTCCCCTTCTGGTAACCCTATGACCCTCACATTAGGTTTCTTCACATAATCCCACATCTCTTGTAGGCTTTGCTCCTTTCTCTTGTTTCTCTGCTCTATCTCTGTGATGGTTTTATTTAATTGGAGGGTGTTATCTTCAAGCTCTGAGGTTCTTTCTTCTGTTTGTTCTACCCTGTTCTTGAGACTTTCCACTCTATTTTGTAGTTCCCTGAATTGATTCTTCATTTCCATGAATTCGGTTAAACTTTTCTTCATTGTGTCGATTTCTTTAGTGAACTTTTGTTCTAGGACCTGGAGGCTTTTTGTGGTTTCTTTGTGTTGGATATTGAGTTGTTCTTGTAGGTCCGTAAGTGTTCTTATGATCCACATATGAAATTCCTCTTCTGTCATTTGGGTTGTCTGATTTGGGCTGTTGTCCTTTTCTAGGGGGCTGGTGCTCCTCTTTGGGGGTGTGTTTTCCGTTTGGTTCTTCCATGTTGATCAGTTGTTGTTTCTTTCCTTTAGGTTTTTGTTTGGGTATTCACATGCCTTGTTTAGTTTCTCACCCGGTAGGTGGTGTCTGTGGGTGAGATTCGACCACTCCCTGTATAATGAGTCAGTGGGTGCCGTGAACAGGCTGTGCAGAATGCCCTCCCTGTCAGTAGGTGGTGCTTGCTTGGAGGAACAGGCTATGCTGTTGTTTCTGTGTCCTGTTATCAGCTCTTGTTCCTGTAGGGAGGCACTCTAGTGCCTCAGGCGGTCGGTGGGGCCCTGGGACTTCCAGCTGTGTCCTTTTTCCCCCCCAGTGAGGGCTGGTCTAGGAGAGAGTCTGGGCGGAGCTGGGTTGGGTAAGCCTGCCCTCAGGCACCACCAGTGCTGTTAGCAGGGGTCAAAGTTCTGTTCTCTGCTTCCAGGAAAAGCTGTCAGGGCGGGGCTGGAATGGTCCCGCTCAGCCAGAAAGTCTGGGTTGTGGGGGTGGGGCTGTCTGAGACCCGCAGTCTGGAGCGGGCCTCGCTTCTTTCCACCCTCCCCAACTCCGCAGCTACTCCTGGGCCTCTGCCAGCAGGCCAGACCACACGCCACCAGGCCTCCCCAGACTGTGATGCCAACGGGGAGGTTCCCTGAGCAGGAACGCTACCTGGGCTGGGTGTATGGCCTCCTTTTGGGGGGAGGGTTGCCCTCTAGGATGTTGATCTGCCCCTGAAGGCACACACACCTTAGTAGGCTGTTCCTGTATATCCCTTCTGTGCCCTGGGCAATGCAAGACTTCGGTGCACGGGATCTGGTCTGCAGGTCTGACCTCTGGGTCCCAGAGTTCAAACTGTATCCCCACCAGGGAGATGAGTGCCAGTCCCAATTCACCCACGGGGAGCCCAAGCTGGGTCTATGTCTCTCATCCTCAGGGTCTGCCCCATTCTCCTGGGATTGCCATGCCAGCAGCACCTGGGAGGGCTGGCAGGTAGGGAGTTCATAGTCTGAGTTCCCTTTAGTCAGCTGTAGGGTCCCAAAAGGGAAGGTCCCATTCCCTGGAGTTGCCTCCGGCTGGTGGCTATATTGTCTCTCTGGGCAGCCGCAGGTATGGATGGCGGAGGGGAGGAGGAGGCAATATGGCGCCTGCCGCGTGACTGGGGTCTGTGTACACGGAGGTGCCCTGAGGGATTTGGGAGTCTGGTGCCTCATCTGCTACTGGCTCACTGCTAGCTGGCGGCGGCCATCTCTGGGGTGGTGTCCGCAGGTCTCTTCACCCGCTTGGGAGCCCCCCTGCAGTCCCAGATGCAGGGGAGGGGAAACGGCACATCCACCTACCCTTCCCACTGGTCTCCGGGCTGCTCCGGTGATCTCAGCTTCCAGTTCTCCTCCTCAACCTATTCCCGTGGAGTCTCCGGAGGTCTGAGTTACCCCTCCTCTGGCCCTCGTCCGATGTAAGCTCGTCTTCTTGCTTCTTTTTTCTAATTTCTGCTAGAATCTGTCTTTTCTGCAGAGACACTTTGTCGGTGTTTCTCGTCCGCCATCTTGATCCTCCTTCCCCCTCCCCCCCCCCGTGAGGTTGGATTTTCTGAGCAGCAAAGGCGCTAGTGGTGGGGAGGAGGAGGTGGAGGGGGTGGTGGTGGCGGTGGAGGTAGAGGAGGAGGAAGATAGCTGGCTGGCTGTGTCCGTGTGGGAGGAAGTACAGCTCCAGTTCTGGATTCTCCAGGGGTGGTGACAGCACAGGCAGGCACAGTTGTACTATTCATGTGACACGTTTGACCACAGCTTGGACATGCAGAACTTTCTGAGATGGCCTTCAGTGCTTCCTAGAGCTTGCATAATTCACTTTCTAAAATGTAAAACTGTTGTTTTAGACTCTGAAGTTCTCGGTGGCAGATACGAGATGCAAAGATGGTTTCTTTCAATACTTCTAAACTCTGGGCTATGCAGTTCTGGCACTAGGTGTATACAGACCATACTCTGTTTGTCCAGAGTTTTATTCTCTCTCTGATGTTGGGAAAGTTGAAGTTCCAGGATGATTTTAGCCAGCTTCTGCTATGGGATATATCTGTTGAAGAAAGTATCACTCTTTCAGGTGAGGGCGGTGGAGGAGGTGGTGTAATTAGCTTGGGCTGGAGGTGAGAGGCTTCTCTTTTTTTGAATAATCTTTTGGCTTTGGCTTTTAGCTTTCTTCTTCATTGTTTGAACTTGGGCATGATTTTAGTCTAAAAGCCTGGGGATTAGATGGAGTCCAGGCAGTGGCCTCTCCCTCGGCATAAAGAAAAATTCAAAATTCTATCAATCTAGTCTTTTGGCCTCCCGTCCAGCCCTGTCCTCTACTCCACCAGGCCCCCTGGCCCCAGACCTCTGGCTCAGCTGACCCCTGCGCCCACCTCCACCTCCACACCCTGCCTTTCCTCCAAGGCCAGCCCTCCTGCCCTTGCCCGCAGCAGCTCAACTCTCTCTGCTGACTCCCCTCCTGACTGCAGGTTCCCTGAGGGCAAGGTCCAAGTCTCCAGCATCCAGTTGGCATCTATCCCAGCACACAGCATGAGCCTATATGGATCTACGCTGTGAAAGAGCGTTTATAAGTGGGTGAGCAGTCGCTCCATTTCTTTGAGTCTCAGTAGCGTCATCCATAAAGTAGATTCAATCTTAAGGTCCCCTCTAGCTTCCAAGGTCATTAGACCCATAACTGGGCTTCTCAAGCATCAGTCCTGTTATAGAAAAAGATCGATTTCATTTTTCAGCTGATTCTTAAGCAAATTTATTCCAGTATCATATTGAAAACCAGTCATTGACTTAGAAATTTGAGTTAAATTTGCTGTTATTGTTTCTGTTGACTTATAGGTTCTCATAACATTTTTGGCATTTGTCTTTAATTTTTAAGAAATATCTACTGGCATCATTTTCAAAATCAAATAGTGTTAAAAATTCATTAAGGAAAAGTCATAATTTCTGCCCCACCCTCCTTACCATGCTGCTCTACTCCTCAGCGTGCTCCCTAGAGGCAATTCGTTTCAACTCATACTTCTAAATAATTTGCCTCTACTCCATTCATTAACTTTTCAATCTTATACCTTCTCTATCGACTTCCTGGTGTTGTAGATGAGGATTTGGCTCATGTGCATCCTCCCTCCATTCTTCTCCCCACACTCTTCCAGTATCATCACAATCCACATTTTGGTTAAATCAATTTGAAGTGTTTACACTGATACATGAGCATGTACCATACTGTGATGATGTTTACTTTCTCATACAATATTTTTTAGCTGAAGTATTAATAATTGCACATTTTATTTTCTTAGGTTTCTACATTCTATTGCCAATTCCCCATCCCTCCACCACCACCAAACGTCTGATTCCTGTTACTCGTAACAAATTACCACAAATTCAGTGGCTCCAAACAGCACCAACTTGTTACCTTACAGTTCTGAAGGTCAACGTCCAGGATGGGACTCACTGAGCTAAATCGAGATGTTGGCAGGACTGAGTTCCTTCTGGAGGCTCTTGGGGAGAATCCATTTCCTTGCCTTTTCCAGCTTCTAGAGGCTGCCTGAATTCCTTGGCCCATGGCCCCTTCCTTGAGCACGCCTACCGCTTCTTCCACCATCACATCTTCTCCGACTCTGACAATCCACGATAATGTCCTCATTTTAAGATCCTTAATTTAATCACAGCTTCAAAATCCCTTTTGCCATGTGAGGTAATGTATTCAGTTTCCAGGGATTAGGGCATGGACATGTTTGGGGGGTGGGAAAGGAAGGGGACAGTAGTCATCCTACCACTTGCTCCAGCGGGTCTGTCAACCCCCTATCAGTACCACCAGATAATCTGCTGGGTCCCAGTCCTGAGTCTTTGGGGACCTTTGATGTGCAAATCAGTGCCTTCTTGTTCAACCCCCCTTTGCAGGCACACAGGCCACAGCGCGCTGTGGTGAGGGCCCCACTTCCCTTGTGCAATATTGTCTCCTCTCCCCTCTTCTTGTTCTTATGGAATGAAACCTCTTTTAATCTTGTGTTCTCATTTTAGTGGGGTCTGGGAAAGAAAGAAGATAAGCAAGTGTGGTCAAGCCTCCATGTTTATCTGACAGTTGTCTTTCCTATAGACCCTCACAATAGGGATTTTCTTTCTATGGTGCCCTGGAAGAAGACTTTCCACTCTGTAATTCAGACAGTCGACCAGGAATGAGAAACTGGGAGATTCATTTACACTATAGTTTGAGCAACTGAGCTCATTTTCCAGAAAGTTCTGTGCAGGGCCTGCTGTGGGAATTTCTCTTCCCTTCAGCCAGAGCTGGTGTGGCCTTCTGGAAGGGCCTGGGCTTGGGGGCCAGGGAGAAGTGTCTGTTCCCAACTCTGCACCTTGTTACTCCTGTGCCTTCTCTGAGTCTTAGTATACTCTTCCATAAAATTGGGATAGTAATAAGTGAGCACTTGTTGTGTACCTGGCTCACAGTAAGCACACAATTATGGCACATTTTAAATTGCTTTCAAGTCAAGTCTATTGGGTAGCAAGAGGTGAGTTGTTATTCTATAATCAAGACCCTGAACCAGATCAATAGCTTCTGGAATCTACCATTGATTGCTCTTTGGGTCTTCTTTGGGTTCCTCCCAATTTGTCTCTAAGTATTTTTGCTTTGATTCTAAATGGTTTACCTCTCTGCTGTTGTTTTCCCATTTCAGCAAAAGCTCCCTGACCTAGCAGCCAAAGCTGCTCTGAACTTGGCCATGAACCTCAACCCTCTCATCTATTGCACCTGCTCCGACCCCTGGAACTTGGGACCACGGAAGCTAATCAAGACCCCTCGGCCACCAAATAAGGCCCCCATAGGGAGGTCCAAGTAAGAATTATCTGGGATGGGGTAGGTGCTTGGGGGCATGGTTTACATTTGAAACTTTTCTTCTTTCGTAAGATTTCCAAAACAGTAAGCTTGGCAGCAAAATCCCAAGTGGGCCAGAGGCCTAGCTTTACCCAGCTTTCCCTGCCAGCCTGTTGGCTGCACTCTCATCTTGCCAGACCTGCCTGGGCTTAGTGGCACGTTAAATGTGAAAGACTCAGCATCGGTGCGATAGGGAAAGTGCAGCTTCCAACCAAGGGCCTTGATGGCAGCTGCCCCCTCCATGTGGGACAAAGAGCTTTGGGAACTGGAGGACAAGCTGTGCTGCCAGTCTGCGGACTCCCTGGGACAGTGAACAAACGCCAAGGCCTGGGCCTGAGGTTTTAAAGGCCTCAGATTTTAAAGATTCCAGGTGTCAGAACATATATTTTAATTTTGAGTCACTGTGGGGATGTACTTAATCTAAGAGTGTTAAAACAGATTTCTGAATTTCCAATTTTCTGATTTTATTGAATAGTCATTTATTTTTCACTTTCAGGCTAACTCCTCTTCTACCAGTTTCAAAACAACACAATTACCTCCAACTAACAAAACCTGTTGTTGCCCCTAAGTAAGTATTTTATGTCCCTGAGACAGGAATGGTTTGAGACATGTGGATAAAATAACCTCCTCCCTTAGCCCCTGTAGTCCTGCCTGACTTGAACTCACTGCTGGCAGGGACATTAGAGAATTGCCAGAATCTACTATGATTTCCCTCAAACTTCAGACCCTACACTTAGATTCCAGAGTCCTCTGCACCTACAGCTTCCACAGTCACTGCAAGTGACCTCTCGGCTGGATGCCCCCAGTAACTGTTTCCTGCCCTACAGGAGCCCAGTGCCTGACGCCGTCATTAGCGCAGAGCCATGGGCGGTTCAGCCTTTAGCGGATTACTTTCCTGTGTCTAAGATTTTCTGCAGATTGCGTCTTGATTTTAATCACAAATTAAAATTTTTACCCACATTTTACAAGTTCAGAAATGTACCTCAGTTTTAGCTTTTTGCATTTTTCTGTTTGGAATATATTTATTGAGCACCTATTATTCTTTAAGCACTGTTTCATGTACAGAGGAAACAGCCAGAAACACAGTAAAGTCTTCGCTGTCCTGGAGCTGACACTGGGCAGGGCAGGGGCGGGAGATGATGATGAACAAGTTATCACACCTGAGGTTGGGGAGTTTGGTGTAGAAAACCAGTGTAGGTGCAGAGGGTAGGGGCTGAGAGGGTGGGGCTGTGACTTTATATAGGGGGCCAGGGCAAGTCCCTGTGTGAAGGGGACAGTGGGGAGCCACACGGATGCCTGAGGCAGGCACTCCTGGCAGAGGGGGCAGCAAGTACAAAGGCCCCTGAGCGGGGGCTTGCAGAGTGTGTCTGGCCTGCCCAGAAGGCAGAAGCCAGGTGGCAAGAGGGGAGGGAGCAAAGAGGGAGGGGCAGATGGGCTCAGAGAAGGTACCCAGGTGATAGATATGGGACAGGACAATGGCCCCCTCAAAGACCTTCTCACCCTAATCCCTGGAAACTGCAAATAGGGCATGTTACTTGCCAAAGGGGAATTAGGGTTGCAGATGGAATTAAGGTTGCCATTCAGGGGACCTTGAGTTAAAGAGATTACCTGGGTTATCCTGGGCCCGATGTAATCACAAAGGTCCTTCCTTGTATGTGAAAGGGGAAGTCAGAGTGTCAGAGTCAGAGAAGATGTGACAACAGAAGCAGAGGTCTGATTGACACAACTTCCTGGCTTTGAAGACGGAGGAAAAGGCCACTATGAACACAAATTATATGGTATTCATTTTACATATAGCATGTTTAAAGCCTTGCATGAAAAACAAGCTAAACAAATGGCTCTTAATGGAATGCATTATCTGGAACATTTGTTTATGAAGAATGTTTCACTCCCCAACGAAGAGAGCTACGCACCGTTCTCTGAGTCAAGTGTGCATGTGTGTGCACACCCGTGTGTGTGGCGGTGTCACCTGACTCACGGAGCCTTGCTGCAGGCAGTGTGTAAGGGTCCCTCTGGCTGGTCTATACTCCTTCAAAACAGAAATTGCCCCAACATCACAAGACAGCTCTTTTGCCTCCCTGGGCCCTCAGGGGCCCTGCCTCAGGGAGTTGGGGGAGCCCCTAAGAAGGTCAGGTGACCACAGCTTAGAGGGCAGAAGTCAGAGGATGGCAGCATCAGGGCGAATCTCTTAAGTGTTGAACATCTCTTTGCTCTCTGGTTGCTTTCTGAGCATGTCTTTCTCTTGCAGAGTGAAATTCCATTTAGGAAGGCAAGAGGAGAGCAATAAATCATCTTATGTGAGTAAAAATAGGAAGAGGGCAGTGGAACTAAGATTTATTGAGCACCTGCCATGTGCAAGCATGGGCTCTTTGCACATACCTCCTTGTTGAATCTTCACAATGACCCTAGGAGGAAGTGCTGTTATTATTGCATGTTACGCTCGTTATACGCGGCTGGTAAGTGAAGAACCATGACTCGAACTCAGCTCAGTCAGGCTCCAGAGTGGGCATTTAATTGCCACCCTCTACGGCCTTGGGCAGGATGAAGACAGTACCCCAGGGAAGCCAGTGACAGCTAGTCCAGGCCAGGGTACAGATCGAACCCAGATGCAGGAAACCGTCTGCCACACCCGGAAGCCCCCAATGCTGAGGGAGAGGCTGTCCGGTCCCCTGAGGGGAGCAGGGGCAGGAGAAAGAGATGGGGACCAGACCCAGAAGGACCATGACACCTACCTGGTCTTTCTCCTGTCGGGGGAGCCTTTACTGGCCTGACACAGGAGTACGTCCTCGTAAGATTCACATTTTATATAGGAAAAGCGCCCCCTGCTGGGACTTTATTGGTACTTTTTACTATTTTCTATCTAGTTTCTTCTTAAATGAGAATCACGCAGTCCTTTAATGGTCAGGTAAAAAAATTAACAAAAATATAATTCCCCCCCCAGGTGGAGAGGAGGATGAACTCTGGGGGAGCCAGGCTGCAGGCAAAGAGGCCAGTCAGGAGGTGGCCTCTGATGGGGGGACCTGGGCCATGCCAGGCAGGGGTGAGCAGAGCCAGGCAAGAGACAGCAGGAGATGACGTGGCGGACTCGCGGGCTGCAGGTGGCAGGGAGCTGTGCAGCTCTCCCAGCTACAGCCTCATCCTGGCCCGGCCAGCAGTGGCCCTGCCCAGGCTTCCCACTTGGCCTCTAGTGGGGAAGAAGAAACCTGCTATATTTTGGGGGGGGTTTGCAACTGTACTAGTTGTTTCTCATAGACTATTTTGTTTTTTCCTCACAAAAGTCCTTTGAGGAAGAGTTATTATCCCCATTTTCTGATGAGGAAACTGAGGCACAGAGATGTTGAATAGTGACTGGTAGTTGGCAGAGCCACGATCTAAACTCAGGCCTGTGTGATTCCAAAACCTGAGCGGTTTCGACAGACCTCTGGGAGGCATGGGGCAGTGCAAGGGAGGGGGAGATTTGAGCTTCCCAGGCCCTTAGGGACACCCTGGGGCCAGCCAAGTGCTGGGACTGAACCTCAGAGAGGAGAGGGTGAGAGGTAATGGAGGGAGGGCACAGGCGGGATTTGGGCCCTGGAGTCTCATCTCAGGTCTCTGGTCTTAAGAGAGGGTGTGAGTGAGGCAAAAGGAGAAGATTTGGAGGAACCTCAGCACCCTAAGTCTGCAATTGTATCCTCCCTTGCCCGGATGCCCAGGAAGTGATCAATGTGTCACCTGGCTATCAACTCTTTCGGAATCGGGAGCAGATTTCTGTCACCTTGGGGGATGAGATGTTTGATAGGAAAAAGAAGATGGAATCAGAGATCATGGACAAAGTCAAATTTTCCAGGTAATGTATTCGAAGCAACACCCAGCTCCTTGGAGCTATACGCATCCTGCTTGGCCCCGTCAAGGACAAGCCACTGACATCAATACCGGGCCATGGGCGCCCTGCCCTCCTCGGCCCTGCTGCTCCACGGCCCTCTCCACACCCACCTCATTTTGCTCCAATCCCATATGGGAGCAGATCCGGGGGGCAGGATGAAGGTCAAGGCAGGCAGCTGACCTGGAAAATAACAAAGTTGTGAGTTATCTTGGAGGAGAGCAATTGTTCCTGGGGGTGAGGAGCAAATAAAATATTCAAAAAATAGTCTGAATTTGGGGCATTTGAATTAAAAGTGAAGTGAGGGCTTCTGGGAGGTGGCGCACACATCTCTTTCTTCATTATGTCCAAAGATACCACTCAGTTCCTGCCCCTGGAAGATTCGGTATGGAAGGTTCCAGCCAGGCTCCAACTCACTGAGCACACACAGCCATCCTCTCTGTCGTGTCCCCACGTGTTCAAGCCCCACCCGTGTCCTCCTGTGCCATGTCATGTATATCTCCACACCTTTAATTCCACCTCTTAGTCTCTCATTTGTATCTTCTCTCCCACTGTCCTGCCCAAGCTCAGGCATCTTACTTCTTTACCTGCGCTGCTGAATGGCTCTTCAAGGGTCTCTTCCTAAAGGCTTATTTTGCTGTGAGAATTATTTTTCCAGGACACAAGTCTAAAAACCAGCAACAATAGAAAACACACACACACTCTTACACAATCTGCTACTGTACAGAAAGGGTACGGCCAGGCTGCCAGCAGGGCTCCCTCTGGCAAGAGATTCAGAGTGCAGCTGAGGCCGGAGGGCCGTGCTGCGGCATTGCCCTGATGTGACCCGGCCCAGAGAAGTCAGACCCCAGGCCCTGTCTTCCCGTCCACTCTTCCCTGCTTATCCATGAGCCCCTGCAGAAGAAGAATGGGTCATGCACTCACAGTCAAACTGACACCCTCGGTCACCTCTTGGCCTCATCAGAGAGTTGTCACCCGTGTGACATAATAAAACATGATAGCCCATGCTTCTTGTGTTTCCTGATAAAGCCATGAGTATTGTTTACATAGAAGAATGTGTTCAAAAGACAGGGGGTCCCCATAATTCAACTTTCTCGTGCCCTTTCTTCTTTCACACATGCAGCATCCTGTACCCCCATTGCTCTCCCTTGTTTTCCCGCCCCACTTTCTCCCTGTGCCCGTTAGACATGAATAATAATTGGCCAAATGGGTCAAAGCCCCTTGAATTGAGGGCCTCCTCTTGGCTCCATGGCATAGAGCACTACCTGCCACCCTGTCTACTCGGGCTCAGCCAGATGGAGCTGAATAATTTACAGATGACATGGAGGCCTCCTTAGACCCAGAAACACAGAATATCACCTATTCTGAAAACCACTCTCTTAAATCCCCTTAGTCCCATGTCTGGCCCATTCCTTGTCTATGATTCACTGTCAGCATCAATCCTATCCCCCACCTTCTAATTTCCTAATCCTCGGAACTCCTTCCTCTGTTTTAACTGTCATCACAAAATCAGGGTCAAACCCTGATACATTTCTGACATATTCCTGCTTCCCTTCTACTCAACAGGGCACCAAACCACCCTGCTCACACATCTGATTTGCTTACCTAAAAGAACCAGATCTGAGGTTCAGCCACCCTCCTGCCAAATGCCTCCTTCAAGGTCACCCCCTTCCCTCTGTGTCATCCCCAAATCATGGAGCATGTGCAAAACGTGGCCGGCTCGCACCAGGCCAGAGCCAGCCATACTCAGGAGCCCGACTGTCATGGAAAGGTAAACTCTGTGGATGATAGAAGAATTATTTGTCCTACAGGACTGATATCGTTTCTGACCTAGAAGAGCAGATCTCAGAGCTGACAGCAATAATAGAACAAATGAACAGAGACCACCAGTCTGCCCAGAAATTGGTGAGTGATCCTTGTGTTAGCTGTCATCTTCATGGGTAGGGTGAGACTAATATTTTCAGATCGCCTGTGTGCCTGGCAAGATGCCAAGCACTTTACTCATGTGAGACATGTTGTCCAGGTGACAGGACTCTAAAGATAGGGCCATATCACCCAGTAGTGTTCTCTGACTCATCGTTATCCATAATTGCAAGCACTTAAGTCTCTTCTCAAGGCTTAGCTCATTCATTTCCCGGAGTTCTCCAGGTGCCTCCCCTCACTGGGGGGTGCTGGTCACTTCCCGTCTGGCCGTTGCAGTGCGTTAAGCTTCAGAGGTTGGGGGCTCTCACTAGGGGCACAGTGCTGCCCAAAAGCCTCCCGGAAGCCTCCAGGGCTTACTCTCGGTGACTGTTTAAGCTGCCAATACCACATGTCAGAACCCGCCATCATTCCACACTCTTAATGTTTCCTGGGAATTTTAGTGACACCTCTTTAGATTTTACCATCTGTTTGATCACAGCAACTTCCTCCCCACCTCAAGCAGGTGTGCCTGGTGCCCTGGGCTGGGGTGACAGCCAGTGCTAGGCTGAGAAACACCCTCCCTAGTGGGACTGAAACCCTTTTTTGAGGTTCCACACCCCAGCAGGCAGCCTCTGCCCTCTGATATGTCCCACACCACTCTGAATCCTACAGTGACCCAGCTTATGACTCAAGGCTGAGACCGCCCCTGCTAATGACTCATTTCTTTATTTGTCTGAAAATCCTGCCATAATCCAGGTTTATGGTCTCCTTCTATAGAAAAGACGTTGAGGCTCAGGGAAGTTAACTAATTCAGTTCAACAGTGAAGAGTTACTGGGCAAAATGCACATATTGACTCAGGAGCAGAGGTCCGGCTGAAGACGGAATGTTTAGAGGCTGTTTCCATGGAGGGGCCCTACGCCGTGATCCTGAGAATACTCCCATTTACAAACATGGATTTGTCGCGTGGCCTGCGGAACAGAGGCGAGCCGCTGTGCCCGCCTCCGACAGAGTGGCCGGGCCAACCTCTGTGCTCCTCTGTGCTCTGTACTCCTCCCCAGTAGCCAGAGAGAGAAGGGCAAGCCCCAGACCTTTGTCTTAGCTGACAGGGAGCCCTGGTGGTTTAAATTGTCCATTTCTCCTGAGACACTGGCCAGGGGAACTGACATGTCGGAATGGAGTGTCCCCTGAAGGTGAGCTAATCCTGTCTGCTCGATTCCCACCATGCTGCCAATAAGGATAGATTAGCACCGGATTTTAAGTTCCTTGAAGACAGGGTCTGAATCTTAGTCCTTTTTGGCTCCTCCAAGCCAAGCCTTTTGCTCAATAAATGATTGCTTTGTTCAGTTTAATTCCATATCCAAGAATCCCAAAACTATGATCTTACAAAGAGATGGCAGTCTAGCAGAGGAGACCAGACCCACCCACAAAAACCAGTTAGTGGAAGAGATGCACCGATGTTATGAACTAAGTACAAAACAACATGGAAGGCCGGGCGCTGTGGCTCACGCCTGTAATCCTAGCTCTTGGGAGGCCGAGGCGGGCGGATTGCTCAAGGTCAGGAGTTCAAAACCAGCCTGAGCAAGAGCGAGACCCCGTCTCTACTATAAATAGAAAGAAATTAATTGGCCAACTGATATATATATAAAAAATTAGCCGAGCATGGTGGCGCATGCCTGTAGTCCCAGCTACTCGGGAGGCTGAGGCAGAAGGATCACTCAAGCCCAGGAGTTTGAGGTTGCTGTGAGCTAGGCTGACGCCACGGCACTCACTCTAGCCTGGACAACAAAGTGAGACTCTGTCTCAAAAAAAAAAAAAAAAAAAACAACAACATGGAGCAAGGCAAGAATTGGTCCGTTCCTTTGGTAATAATGTGCTCTCTGGCATTGCAGAACACAATGGGAGAGAAGGGGGGGAAGGGGGTGTCCACCATGATTTGGAGGGCTTCTCAGAACGTACAGATCAGAGTGGGTTTGGGTTCACCAATCCTGTGTTGTTAATGTCAGTTTTGTTTCTAGCTCTCTGATGAAATGAATCTGCGCTGTACTGACATGAAGCAGAACTTTGAAAACCAGAACAGGTATGCTTTTTGGCCTGAGCCCTTATGTGCTGAGGGCCCTAAGGCTCCTATGTCCTTTGCAGGGTTTCAGTTCGCTGGAGCTTCAGACAGTGCCAAATGGAGTTGGGTGGCCAGGGGTGGAGGAGGGGAGTGAGGCATGTGTCTTTGAAAAGCAGGATGGATTGATTCGATACCATGAAAATGAAGCACAAAGAAAGTTATTCCTGTTTTTGCACTTTATCGTCCAAGTATTTAAATTACAATCTTTTTTGTTGGTTGCTGAGAAGAGCCAGTTTTTGTTCTCTATGAGATTTCTGTGATAAATAACTACTGTTCTCAACCAAGCCTCTTCTTCTTCTTCTTCCTCCTCTTTCTTCTCATGCTCCTCTACCTCCTCTTCTTCCTCTTTTTCCTCCTCTCACCTCTACTCTCTCTGCCTGCTAGGGCCTGGGCAAAATAGGAGGAAGGTATGGGAGGGGCAGGAGCAAAGACAAATCCAGCAAAAATTAAAAGGAGGTGTTCAAACATAGAGAGATAGAGAATAAAACAGTGGTTACTAGAGTCAAGGTAGAGGGAAGGAAATGAGCAGATGTAGGGTGAAGGACACAAATAAATATGCAAGATACAAAAAACACATTACATACAAATGAATGCCAATATGACTATAATTTCTTGGCAGAAACCCTGCAGGCCAGGAGAGAATGGGATGATATATTTATAGTGCTGAAGGAAAAAAAAATAGCCAATCAAGAATATTTTATCTAGCAAAGATGTTTTTCTGAAATGAAGGAGAAATGGAGAATTGCTTCAGGGAATTCTTTAAACTAAAACAAAAAGCTGCTAATAAATAACATGAAACATATAAAAGCACAAAACTCAATGGTATAACTAAAACATAACCATATTCAGAATACCCTGGGACTGCAATGATAGTGTGTAAGATAATTTTATCCCTAGTACAAAGCTTAAAATACAAAACTATTAGTAACAACTGTAGCTAAAATAAATTGTCAAAGATGTACATTACAAAATGATGTGAACTCTGACATCATACAATAAAATGAGGGAGAGAGTAAAAGTGTACACTTGCAGGCAATCAAATTAAGTTGTTATCAGCTTGAAATAGGCTGTTACAAGTACAAGCTGTTCCGTGTAAGCCTCATGGTAACCACAAGGCGAAATCTTTAGCAGAAGCACAAAACAGAAATAGAAAGGCTTTGAAGTTTTGAAGCATAACACTTCCGAAAGCCATCAAACCACAAAGGAAGATAGCAAAAGAGAAAGAAAAAAACAAAGTATCTACATAACTACTAGACAACAATTAACAAAGTGGCAGTAAATCCTTACCTATAAATAATCACCTTGAGTGTAAATGGATTAAACTACCTGATAAAAAGACAGAGTGCCCGAATGGTTTTAAAAAAAAATTAAAAAGACTATGCTACATGCAGTCTACAAGAGACTCACTTAGCTCTAAGTACACACATAGACTGACAGGGAAGGGATGGAAAAAGATATTCCACACAAATGGAAACCAAGAGAGAGCAGGGATAACTACACTTACATTAGAAAAACTAGACTTTAGGTCAAAACTATAAAAAGAGACAAAGGAGGGCATTATGTAATAATGAAGGAGCACCTTAAAATCTGTACCCCCATAATATGCTGAAATAAAAAAAAAATTAGGTACAAAAAAAAATAATGAAGGAGCCAATTCATCAAGAGAATATAACAATTGTAAATATATATGCATCCAATCAGAGCACTTAAATATTTATTTTAAAAATTAAGGATGTGTGAAGGGAGAGATAGATAGTAATACACTAATAGTAGGGGACTTCAATATCCCACTTTCAACAATGGACAGATCATCCAGACAGAAAATTAATAAGGAAACATTAGCTTGAACAACACTTTTGACCAAATGGAATAGACCCATACAGAACATTCCACCCAATAGTAACAAAATATACATTCTTCTTAACTGCACACTGAACATTCTCCAGGAGCAATCACATGTTAGGGTACAAAACAAGCCTCTGAAAATTTAAGAAGACTGAAGTTCCATCAAATATTTTTTCTGGACAACAATGGTATGAAACTAGAAATCAATAATAAGAGGAATTTTGGAAAATTCACAAATATGTGAAAATTAAACAACATGCTACTGAACAACCAATGGGTCAATAAAGAAATTAAAAGGGAAATTTAAAAATATCTTAGATACTAGCAAACCAAATTCAACAGCACATTAAAAAGATCATTCACTATGATCAAGTGGGATTCATCCCAGGGATGCAAAGATGATTCAACATGTGCAAATCAATAAAGATGACATTACAATCAATAAAGACCACATTAACAGAAAGAAAGACAAAAACGATATGATCATTTCAATAAACACAGAAAAAGCATTTGACAAAATTCAACATGTCTTCATAATAAAAACTCTCAACAAATTAGGTACAGAAGGTATGTACCTCATCAGAATAAAGGCCATATAGACAAACCCACAGCTAACATACTGCACAGGAAAAAGCTGAAAGCTTTTTGTCTAAGATCAGGGACAAGACAAGGATGCCCACTTTTACCACTTCGATTCACATGGTACTATAAGTTCTTGCCAGAGCAACTAAATGAGAAATAAATAAAAGATATCCAAGTTAGAAAAGAAAAAGTTACATTGTCCCTGCATCGTTTGTAGACCACAGGATCTTATATATAGAAAACCCTTAAGACTTCACCAAATAACTCTTAGAACCAATACACGAAATCAGTAAAGTTGCAGGATACAAAATTGACATACAAAATTCAGCAATGTTACTATACACTAATAGTTAAATATCTTTAAAAATCAAGACAACATGCTGACGTGGATGCAGAGAGAAAGGAACACTAACACACTGTTGGTGGGGCTGCAAATTAGTACAACCTCTGTGGAAAACAGTACGGAGATTTCTCAAAGAACTAAAAGTAGATACCCACTACTGGGTATCTACCCAAAGGAACAGAAGTCATTTTACCAAAAAGACACCTGCGCTCGAATGCTTATTGCAGCACAAGTCACAATACCAAAGATTTGAAATCAGCCCAAGTACCCATAATTCATGAGTGGATTAACAAAATGTGGTATATGTATACCATGGAGTATACTCAGCCATAAAAAGGATGAATTAATGCCTTTTGCAGTAATTTGAAAGGAATTGGAGGCCATTATCCCAAGTGAACTATCTCAAGAATAGAAAAGCAAACACCACATGTATTCTCTAATAAATTGGAACTAACCAATACACACACAAGTGCACAGAGGGAAGTAAAAGTCATTGGAAATCAAACACAGGGAAGTGGGGAGGAGTGGAGGGGCAAAAACCTATCTAATGGGTACAATGAACAGTATTTGGATGATGGGCACATTTATAGCCCTAACTCAACCCATGTAACAAAAACATTTGTACACCCTTAATATTTTTTTTAAAAAAGAATGAAGTGCTGATACATACTATGATGTGCATGAACCTCAAAAACATTGTGCTAAGTGAAAGAAGACAGATACAAAGGGCCACACATTGTATAAATCCATTTACATACAACACCCAAAATAGGCAAATCGATAGAAAAAGGAATTCGATTGGTGTTTGTTAGGGACTGGGAGTAGGGAGAAGTGGTGAGTGACTGCTAATGGGTATGAGGTTTCTTTTGAGGGTGATTAAAATGTTCTAGAATTAGTGGTGATAGTTGTACAACATTGTAAACATACTGAAAACTACCGAATTGTATACTTTTAAATGACAAATTGTATGTTATGTGAATTATATCTCAGTAAAACAATGTAAAAAAGAAAAGATATAAAAGGTATACCTTTGAGAAGGTATAAAAATGATATTAAGTTTTATTTTGTGATTCTAAAAAATAAATCAAGACAATTCCATGAGCAATAGCTAATAAATAAATAAATAAAATGCCTAGGAATGAGCTTAACCAAGGAGATGAAAGAATTAGAATAATTAATATTGTTGAAATGGCCATACCACCCAAAGCGATCTATAGATTTAGTGCAATCTCTCTCTAAATACCAATTTAAATCATGCAAACTTCTCCCCCAGCCTCCCCACCTAGACAGCCTTGTAGAATTATTTCTGTTTGCCCATAGCCATCTCAAAATATGTAAAAGATATGTATTTTGAAGTAAAATATTTATTTTCTTTAGCCCTAAAAAACACTTCAAAATATATAGCCTCTGTAAAATGAGTGCTCGTCAATTATAGCCTTAAAGCTGTAGCCTAAATAAATTCTTAAATGTCAATTACAAGTGTATCTCCACAGTGCAAACCAATGAAGTGATATCATTTGTCTACTCACTCTGAGAAGATCACAACATTGACTATCTCCTCTACCCTCTTTTTTGAATGTTCATCTTATCTTATGTAGATTTACTAGGCACCAAATAGAATCTCACAAGAATACTATCAATTACTTCACTGCTCATCTCCTTCACCCCTTCCCTTTTTCTGTGTACCGGTTTTTTTCTTTTAAATGCAAAGTTGTCAAATCCTTCTACAGAGAGCCCAGTCCATAACAGATACTTTATGGGCTGTGTTTTTCCTGGGTGTGTCCTCAAAATCTTGGCTTAATAAACCTCAACTGAGTATGACTCTTGTTTTCTGTCACATATTATTTAACAATACTAAAGCCAGGCAAGAACAATACAAGCCAATACCCTTGATGATCACAGATGCAAAAATCCTCAAAAAAAATACTAGCAAACCAAATTCAGCAGCACATTAAATGGAATCATTCACCATGATCAAGTAGGATTTATCCCTGGAATACAAATATCAATGGAAAAGAGCCCAAACTCTTTAAAATAATTTAAAGAGGTTTATTCTGAGCCAAATATGTGTTACCATGGCCCAGAGAGCCATTCCCAAGAATCCTGGAACAAGTGGAGTCACCATGATTGAGTTATAGTTTGATTTTATACATTTTAGGGAGATAGGAATTACATATAAAGTCATAAATCAATACATAGAAGATATACACTGGTTTGGCCCAAAAAATCAAAACATCTCAAATTGGGAGATTACAGGTTATAGGTGGGTTTAAAGATTCTTTGATTTGTACTTGGTTAAAGAAATGAAGCTTTATCTAAACATTTCAAATGTTTTCAGTTAAGATAAGAAAGTCTGTTAATCAAAGACAAGCCACTGGACATATACTGAGATTCAAGTGATCTGTTAGGTAAATTTATGACCTGTAGGTGTGGTTTAACCTTTGCCTTACATGGCCTTGGGCTTGTTAATGATTTTGTATCTTACTGTTACAAAGAATAGCTCCAAAAAGGACAGGGCATAACTGACCTCCCTTCTTCTCATGGTCGGCAACTCAGCTTTCAGAGTTTTTTGGTGGGTTCCCTTGGCCAAGAGAGGGTCCATTCAGTTGGCTGTTAGGCTTAAGATTTTATTTTAATTTATACAAGGATGGTTCAATATATCATGTTGACACATCATTTTAACAGAATGAAGAACAAAAACCATATGATCATCTCGTTAGATGCAGAAAAAGCATTTGATCAAATTCAACATTCTTTCATGATAAAAACTCTCACCAAATTAGATGTAGAAGGAATGTACCCTAACACAATAAAGGCCATATATGAAAAACCCACAGCTAACTTTATACTCAATGGGAAAAATTGAAAGCCTTTCCTCTAAGATCTAGAACAAGACAGGGATACTCACTCTCACCACTTTTATCCAACATATTAATAGTATTGGAAGACCTTGCCAGAGCAATTAGGCAAAAGAAAGACATAAAAGGCATCCAAATAAAAAGGGAAGAAGTAAAATTGTCACTGTTTGCTGATGAGATGATCTTATATGGAGAAAACCCTAAAGACTCCACCAAAAAACTCGTAGAACTAAAAAACAAATTCAGTAAAGCTACAGGATACAAAATAAATATACAAAAATCAGTAATGCTTCTATACCCCAACAATCAACTATCCAAAAAAGAAATCAAGAAAACAAACTTATTTACAATAGCTACAAAAGAATGAATAAATTTAACCAAGAAGGTGAAAGACTTATACAGAAAACCATAAGATGTTGATAAAAGAAATTGAAGAAGTAACAAATAAATGGACAGATAGACCCGTGTTTGTGAATTAGAAGAATTAATATTGTTAAAATGGCCATACTACCCAAAGTGATCTACAGATTCAGTGCAATCCCTGTCAAAATTCCAGTGCCATTTTTCATAGAAATAGAGACAATTTAAAAATTCTTGTAGATCCACAAATAGCAAAGGCAATCCTAAGCAAAAAGAACAAATCTAAAGATATCACACTACCTGATTTCAAACTACAAAGTAACAGTAATTAAAACAACATGGTATTAGCCAAAAAAATAGATACATAGACCAATGGAACAGAACAAAGAGCCCAGAAATAAACCCCTGTGTGTACAGCAAATTGATTTTTATCAAAGGTGCCAAAAATATACAATGGGAAAAGGATAGTTTATTTAATAAGTGTGTTGGGAAAACTGGATATATACATGCAGAGGAAGAAAATTGGACTCTCATCTCACATAATATACAAAAATAAACTCAAAGGGGATCAAATACTTAAGCATAAGGCCAGAAACTGCAAAACTGCTAGAAAGAAAACACAAAGGTGGCCAGGCTCTGTGGCTCATACCTGTAACCCTAGCACTCTGGGATACTGAGGTGGGAGGATCACTTGAGGTCAGGAGTTAGAGACCAGCCTGAACAACAGCGAGACCCTGTCTATACAAAAAATAGAAAAATCAGCCAGGTGTGGTGGTGCATGCCCTGTAGTCCCAGCTACTCGGAGGCCAAGGCAGGAGGATCACTTGAGCCCAGAAGTTTGAGGTTGCAGTGGGCTGTGATGACACCACTACACTCTATCTGAGGCAACAGAGGAAAACTCTGTCTCTAAATAAATAAATAAATAGCTACATAACATTGATCTGGGCAATGATTTTTCAGATTTGACCCCAAAAGCACAGGCAACAAAAGCAAAAATAGACAAATGGAATTACATCAAACTAAAAAGTTTCTAGACAGCAAAGGAAACAATTAACAGTGTATAGAGACAACCTACAGATTAGGAAAAAATATTTATCAACCATACATCTAGTAAGGGGTCAATATCCAAAATATATAAGCAGCTCGAACAACTCAATAACAAGAAAAAAATCCCATTAAAAAATCAACAAGGGGCCAAGCACGGTGGCTCACACCTGCAACCCTACACTCTGGGAGGCCGAGGTGGGAGGATTGCTCAAGATCAGGAGTTCGAAACCAGCCTGAACAAGAGCGAGACTCCGTCTCTTCTAAAAATAAAAAGAAATTAATTGGCCAGCTAAAAATATATAGAAAAATAGCCGGGCATGGTGGTGCATGCCTGTAGTCCCAGCTACTTGGGAGGCTGAGGCAGAAGGATTGCTTGAGCTCAGGAGTTTGAGGTTGCTGTAAGCTAGGCTGACACCACCACACTCTAGCCCAGGCCACAGAGTGAGACTCTGTCTCAAAAAAAAAAAAAAAAAAAAATCAACAAGGAATCCAAATAGACATTTCCCAAAAGAAGACATATAAATGTTCAGCAGGTATATGAAAAAATGCTCAACATCGCTAATCTTTAGGGAAATGCAAATTAAAACAGCATTGAGCTATACCTTCACACCTGTCAGAATGACTACTGTCAAGAAGATGAAAGATATCAAGTGTTGGTGAGGATGTGGAGGAAAGGGAACACTTACACACTGTCGATGGCATTGTAACTTTGTACAGCCATTATGGAAAACTGCATGGCAGTTCCTCAAGAAACTAAAAGTAAGTAATGCCTTTATGATCCCACAGTCCCATTTCTGGGTATTTATCCAAAAGATTTAAAATCAGTTTTTCAAAGAGGTGTTTGCACTTCCAAATTCATTGCAGCAGTATTTACAATAGCCAAGTTATAGAATTAACCCAAGTGTCCATCAATGAATGAGTGTATAAACAAAATGTGTATGTGTACACAATGGAAAACTATCCAGCCTTTAAAAAGAAGGAAATTTTGTCATTTGCAACAACATGGATGGAACTGGAGGAAACTATGCCAATGACATTAGCCAGGCACAGAAAGACAAACACCACATATTCTCACTTATATGTGGACTCTGAAACAAAAGAACGCACAGAAGCAGAGAGTAGAATGGTGGTTAAAGAGGCTGGGGGTTGGGAGGAATGGGGAGATGATGATGAAAGGGTACAAAATCTCACAGAGGAGATATATGGGATTTTTTTTAGATCTATTTCACAATGTGGTGAATATAGTTAATAATATTGTACATTTCAAAATTGCTGAGAGTAAATTTCAAATGTTCTCACTACAGAAAACATTTAGTATTTGAGGTGATATGTTAACTAGCTTGATTTAATTATTCCACATTGTATTCATAAATCATAATATTACTTTTACTCCATAAATATTAATATATACAATTATAAACTGTCTATTTGCAATTTAAAAAAGAAATCCTGGTGAAGAGACAGCACTCCTAGTTGATTCATAACCTTTCATTTATGGATTCATTCTTTTATTTATAGACTTTATTTTTAAAGCAATTATAAATTTACAGAAAAATTGAGGAGAACATACAGAGATTTCCCATGTATCTACTGCCCCTCCACACACATAGCCCCCCTCATTATCAACGTCCCCACCAGAGTGGTACATTTGTTGCAATTGATGAACCCACATTGACACTCAAAGTCCATAGTTTATATTAGGGTTCATTCTCGGTGCTATACATTCAATGGGTTTGGACAGATGTATGAGGACACGTATCCACCATTATAGTGTCATGCAGAATAGTTTCATGGCCCTAAAAATCTGCTGTGCTCTGCCTGTTCATCCCCCCAAACCCTGGCAAACACTGATCTTTTTACTGTCTGCATAGTTTAGCCCTTTTCAGAATGTCATTCAGTTGGAATCCTGTAGTATGTAGCCTTTTCAGGCTGACTTCTTTCACTCAGTGACATGTGTCTAAGGTTCCTTCACGTCTTTTCATGGCTTGATAGCTCATATAGACTTTCACCTTAACACTCATCTTAAACACTGCCCACATCCACCTCCTGGATGGAGGCTGAAGAGACCTTGGTTACTAAAATTATTCTGGGTACGAATGCAGCCCCGTTTCCCAAGTGAGCAAACAGTGAAAGTGAGCAAAGACTATCTGACTGTTAGGGAAGAGTTTGTGGCCTGCTGGCTCTACTCAGAACAGTGATTGTAGAAAGAGGGGTCTTCTCACCCTCTGGATCGATGCCAGGAGAGTGCTTCAGGAAGTGAGGGCCCCACTTCCTGTGCGAGGGCAAAAGGGTAGGGTCAGGTCAGTGTCACAGCTCAGCCCTGGATTTCTTTTCACTGATGATTGTGGCCTTCTCCTGGGGTCCCACAGGGATCTCAAAGAGGCTCACAAAACGATGGTCAGTGAGTTGGAGAACAACTACAGAGCAGCCTTGAAGGAGGAGAAGTTGGCTGCCCAAAAGAAGCTAGGTACTGTTGGGACCTGGGAGAATGACGCTGGGTGAAGGGACAAGAGGCTACTCTGTGGGTTTAGGGTCAAGGAATTCCCATGGCCATGGATGGGCTGTGGAAGGGGAAGAAAGTGACTAAAAATGAAACTGAAAAGAGGAAAAACCATGTCTACCAATATCCTTTCTTTTCCTGGAAGAGGATCTGAACAAAGATCTGAACAAAGTTCCTTAATTTCGTGAGTTCCTATTTCCTCATTTGGGAATAGAGGACAAAAATATCTGTCCTTAACAGTGTGATGAGAACGTGAGAGTATTTTTTAATGTATATTTTAAAGTTCTACAAATATAATACTATTTCAATTCAGCTAGTTTCCTCACCTTTAAATGATAGTATTTCATTAAATTCTCACTGACAACTTTGATTTTATCGCCTTATAATGTATAAGGGTTGTACTGGCCAGATATCTCATTTGTTTATGCTGCTGTTGGAAAAGGCCAAGTGTGTATGCTTCAGAATTCCAGGTGGGTAGACTAACCTCCACAGAGAAAAGGAGAAATCATTTTTTTCCTTAATTTTGCCTTAAATATTTTTAAAGATGGTATCTTATTTATACTTAACCCTTTGCTAATTTTCCAATGTAGTATTTTAATAATCAGCACAAAATGGAAATGTTTTTTAAAAAAGAAGCAAAGGCATGCTACTAGGTTTTGTTCCTCTTTTGCCACAGATGTTGGTTTATCCCTGGGGATTAGTTCTCAGATGTGATGTGTATCAAAATCCAACAAATCCTGGGCCCCTCTCCTGACACCCCAATTCAGCGGGTTTAGCGTGGGGTCCAGGCATTTGCATTTCTAATAAGTTTTCGAGTGATTTCTGGGGCACACAAAGATTTCACTGTCTGGGGGATGAGTTTGGGGTGGGGAAACTGTACAGGAGAGCTCACATTGGAATTTGAAAATGTGAAAATAATCATGACCTTGTTGTTTTCCTTTTGTCCAGAGGAGATGGAAAAGGAATATAAGTATTTGAAGAACATGTTTCATATGTATCAGGTGAGACGCAGAGCTCCTTGCTGGATTATGAGAGTGAGGGAAGCAAGGCTTGTTCTGGGCTGATAACACTGGGATGAATCTAGAGCTCTTGTCCGGAGAATAATGTCCTGAAACTCCCAGCATCCTTGGATCTAAGTGGCCCTAACTGCACCCAGGGAGAAGTGTAAACCCAATGGCTTCTGTGCATGACAAGTCAGTCACCCAGTCCCTAAAGAGGCCTATCAAAAAATACGTTTGTGATTACAAAAGCGATAGCTGCTCGTTGTTTTTTAAAAAATGGAAATACAATTTTCTTCATGGCACCTTTGTGCCTCCACAGGATAGCATTTATGATGAAATGGAAGAAAAATGGTCAAAGCGGAAGGCAGAATGGGAGAAAGATGAGAAGTTGGAGCGGGAAAAGATCCTGCTACAGCAAAGTGAGTATAGAAACTTCTAGCATTTTGATGACAAGTGTATCAAAAAACTACCATGATGTTTGGTCTTCACTTGAAGACAGTATTTACTGCAGGTGACAGGCCACATGCTAGACTCCTAAATGGAAGGTGCCCCGGAGTTTTCAAGAAAGCAAAGTGACAACAAGGGAAGGGTCTTTTTTGAAGTTCAATCACCTGATTTAAGGGGAGGGGATCTAAGCCTACACCTTTCCAAAACTCACTGGGTCCAAGTTTGCCCATCATGGGCTGGAACAAATATTGGAATTGCTATAGGGACTGCAGGCTTTGTTATCTAGATACATGGTACACCAAAGTTCCAAGGGTTCTGGAATTAGAATGTGAAATATTCATTTGTGTGAGGAGGGAGGAACAACATAATCCATTATACCAAGAGCCTCTATCTCCCAGGGTCTCCCAAGACCCTCACATCTCTCAGAAAGGAACGTGTTTGATAAATATTTTTAATATTCCCAGCACGTAACACAGAGCCCAGATCATACGATGTGTCCTATAGGTACACTCCCCCCTCACTGAGCACCTTCATGAATGGAAAAAAGGAGCGAGGGAAGTGTGGGACTGCCCCGGGCCTAGAAGACTAGATGAGATGAGGCAGGAGCGGGGCCTCTACAGACCAATTCCGCATCCTACTCCAACTCCATTCATCTTGTATTTAGTTGATTTTAACAGGTCACTCATTTAAAGCCAGATACTCCATGGGAAAGTTAATTCACATTGCGGTGGGGACTCTGGACTGTCAGAAGTAACATGAAGCCCCTGTAGTTGAGGCTGGGGAACGCGACCTGGAACTACTCCTGTCCGAGGCTTTACCTAGAAGCCAGGTGCAACAACACCCAGGTCACCTCCCAGATTTCTAGCTACTTATACGACACTTGTCCCATGTTGTCAAAGTCTGAGGTGTAACCACTCATTTGGAATGGTTACCAGCTGCTCACCATGCCACTGAGTCCAGAGCTTACCCTGTCACCCAGAGACTCCCTGTCCATCCCCAGAATTGCGACACTGAGGAAATCTGTGTTTCCCCTCCCCACCTTCTGACTTTCTTCTTGTTTGATATTGGGGCTCTGCTGGCAGGTTTCTCTGCCCAGGAAAACAGTTTAAGCCTACCTCTACTCCAGGGCTAAGTACAGATGATTGTTACTGCTGGCAAAGTCACATTAGCCAAGAGCCTTATTTTAACACAAGCATATCCAAGAAAGCATAGTGGTTGCTTCGGCAGGTAGAGTGAATGCACAAAATAATAAGCAACATATCCAAAACAAACTACACACAAACAAACAGTGACGTTGGTGGTAAATCCCTATGACTAATGTGGTTGAGGACAACCACCACGCTCACCTCACACTCAAACATCGCAGATGGGTGTCAGAGGCTGGCCAGCAGGCTGAAAGGCCTGTGAGTTTGACCCAGTCTGGAACTGCTTTTTTTTTTTTGAGACAGAATCTCACTTTGTTGCCTGGGTTAGAGTGTCCTGGCGTCAGCCTAGCTCACAGCAACCTCAAACTCCTGGGCTCAAGCAATCTTTCTGCCTCAGCCTCCCAAGTATCTGGGACTACAGGCATGCGTCACTATGCCCAGATAATTTTTTCTATATTTTTAGTTGTCGAGCTAATTTCTTTCAATTTTTAGTAGAGACAGGGTCTCACTCTTGCTCAGGCTGGTCTCGAACTCCTGAGCTCAAATGATCCTCCCGCCTCAGCCTCCCAGAGTGCTAGGATTACAGGCGTGAGCCACTGTGCCCAGCCTGGAATTGCTTTTATCTTTAGATATTCTGGGTTTCTCTCTGCACCAGCTTTTCCCACATTTTCATATACATGTGCTTTCCTCTCACCTCCACAGAAAATAAAATGACAAAAAAGTTTGAGTTAGAAACAGAAGAGGAAAAGAAGAAAATAAATGAATCCTACAATATTGTCTTTGAGAACTTCATTCGAGAGAAAGAGGTAACTCAGTCCAAAGCACATCAGTGGTTGAATGTGTAGTCCAGGCAGTATATCCAAGTTCCCAGGTGTGCTCTGTAATTAAGTGATATTTCTGTCTTTATGGGAATATTCCTCTTTTCCTAGCTTGCCTGGAAACCTATGCAAGTAGACTGACAATCTTGCTGTCCTTTAGCTAGACAGTCTTACCACAGGCTAGACAGTCCTACCACAGTTACTGGACAAGCTTACCACAGGCTAGACAGTCCTACCACAGTTACTGGACAAGCTTACCACAGGCTAGACAGTCCTACCACAGAGTTACTGGACAGCCTTACCACAGGCTAGACAGTCCTACCACAGAGTCACTGGACAGGCTTACCACAGGCTAGACAGTCCTACCACAGAGTTATTGGACAGGCTTACCACAGGCTAGACAGTCCTACCACAGAGTCACTGGACAGGCTTACCACAGGCTAGACAGCCCTACCACAGAGTTACTGGACAGGCTTACCACAGGCTAGACAGTCCTACCACAGAGTTACTGGACAGGCTTACCACAGGCTAGAGAGTCTTACAGCTGTGTTATTGGACAGGCTTACCACAGGCTAGACAGTCTTACAGCTGGGTTATTGGACAGTATTACCACAGGCTAGACAGTCCTACCACAGAGTTACTAGACAGGCTTACCACAGGCTAGGCAGTCTTACAGCTGGGTTATTGGACAGTATTACCACAGGCTAGACAGTCCTACCACAGAGCTATTGGATCATCTTATCACAGACTAGACAATCTTACCACAGTTATCGAATAGTCTTACCACAGACTAGATAGTCTTACACAGAGTTGTCGGAAAGTCTTACCACAGACTAGACAGTCTTACCACGGGGTTATTGGGATGAAAATTGTGATTAACAGAAAATAGCAGAATGCTAAATGTACAGAACCTGAAATTTCCTATTTTGCCCAAATCCCATCTCCAAATATCCTTCTTGTCTTTGACTATAGCTGCTATAGCTGTAGTGCTATTACTGGGCTCTAGGGCAGTAGAGGTTTAACTTTATAAGAAATTGCCAAACTGTTTTCCAAAGTAGTTGCACCATTTAACTCTTGCATCTTAAACATCTGAGGATTCCAGTTGCTCTACATGCTCCACAACAATTAGTCCTGACAATCTTTCAATTTTGGCCATACCAGTGGGTATGAAGTGATATTTCATTATGGTTTTAGTTTCCGTGATGACTAATTATGTAAGGCAATTTTCCATATTCTTACTGGACCATTCATTCATATGTCTTCTTTTGTAAAGTGTCTGTTCGAGTCTCTTGTCATTTGAAAATATTAGAGTTGCTTTAGTACATTGTATGATATGTGAATTATATTTCAGTAAGACTGTTTTTTAAAAAAACTTAGAGTTGCTTATCGTTTTTTATTGACATGTAGGAGTACTTTTCATACTGTGGATACAAGTTTTTTGTCAGACATACATGTTGCAAATATTGTCTCCCAGTCTGTGGTTTGCCTTTTTGTTTTATTAATTATATCTTTCAATGTGCAGCTTTTAATTTTGATCAAAGGCAAATTATCAATTTTTATTTTTAAGGTCACAGTTTTTTGTGTCCTCTATAAAATCTTCACTTATTCCAAGGTCATAAAGATATTCTAATTTTTTAGAAGCTTTACAATTTTAGCTTCTGATTCTATGACCCATTTTGAATAATTTTTGTGTTTTTCTATATGAATATTCAGTTGTTCCAGCACTATTTTTTGAAAACACTTTCCTTTCCCTATTGAGTTGCCTTAGTGTCTTTGCTGCATTTGGTGGGGAGGGTCAGACTCTCCATTCTGTTCCATTTGACTGCTTGTCTATACTTAGGTCAACAACATATTGTCTTAATTACTAAAGCTTGAGTAGTAGCAAAGATCATATTTAACTTGCTATTGTTTTCCAAGATTATTTTACCTTTCTACATCCTTCGTTTTTTATATAAATTTTAGAACTAGCTTGTCAATTTGGAGTTAGTTTGTCAAGACAGCCTGCTGGTATTTTGACTGGGAATGTATTGAGTCTAAAGATTAATCTGTGGAGAATTGAATTTTTAATAGTACTGAATATGTACACTGACTTTTATTTTTTTATTTTATTTTATTTTTTTTAGAAATTGCAACACCCAGCTATGTACACTGACTTTTAAAAAGCTTTTTTTTTCTTTTCCCTTTTATTTCATCATATTATGGGGGTACAAATATTGTTAGGGCTACAAATATTGCCCCTTAAAAAAGCTTTTGATGGAAACATAATTTTTTAAAATATTTGTTAATGTGATAAAGTTGCAAGTACATAAGATTTTCATTAACCTTAACATGTCATGTCCTCAGTTCATAACGTGGGCTTCATTATACCAATGTCTAAGCTTTGGTGAATATTATATTTCTGAATCCTATTCTGGCTTTCTTAACTTCCTGAAAAAAGTGTCAGAACCACGGTGCTGACCTTTTCCAAATTAAAATGTTTTTAGGAGCTCTTGAAACAACATGAAAGAGACACCTTGCAAATAGAGGAGCTGAGAAAGACCAAGGCGGTAAGCTTTGTCATCCTTCCCTGTAGACTTGGTGTCTTACAAATACATCCGTAAAATGATAGACTCTCAGTAAAATGGAATCTATGATAATTTTCCTAAAACCAATAAAGAATGGAAGATCTAAAGCTGAATTTACTGAATTCAGTAAGTCAAGAAGGATTTTTGAAAGTCTGTAAAACAAAGCCAGTGGTGTCTTTTAGAGTTAGATTTGAGCAAATGTATCAGCAATATACTGTGTGATCTTCAATTGTGAATGCCTTTCCTTTCTAGCAAGGTTCAAACCACAAGAGGACTTTGAGCTCTGTCTCCAAGCCTCTCCTTAAACCTCACAGATGACAGCTTCCTCAAGGAACTCTATGCCTCTGAGACAAATTGTGGCACTTTATGGGAGCCAGCTGCAGAGAACAGATGTTCAAACCCACAAAATAACTCGTGGTTCTTTCTTCCCTGGGAATTTAATTTCGATCCAGAATGGGTATTTGGGAAAAGATTAGTCATTATGAAAGCATTATAAAGGAATGATATCTTAGGGCCCAGGTGGGACTTCTGTTTGAGGGGCTAACAGACTGAGTGTCCTACAAGCTAAAGAAATGGGCTTTGGAGCCAGGTAGACCCAGTATATTACAATAATTATTTCAGTGAGCTTATCTACCAATTCTATCTGGGTCTATTTCTATGCATTCATTTTTCTCCTCATTTATGGTCATATTTTCTTATTTGCATGCCTGACAGTTTTTTTTATTGGATGCCAGCCATTGTGAAGTTTACCTTGTTGGGTGCTGAATATTTTTATATTCATTTAAATATTCTTGGCCAGGTGTGGTGGCTCACACCTGTAATCCTAGTACTCTGGGAGGCTGAGGCAGGAGGATTGCTCAAGGTCAGGAGTTTGAGACCAGCCTGAGCAAGAGTGAGACCCCGTCTCTACTAAAAATCAGAAAGAAATTATCTGGACAACTAAAAATATATAGAAAAATTAGCCGGGCATGGTGGCGCATGCCTGTAGTCCCAGCTACTCGGGAGGCTGAGGCAGAAGGATTGCTTCAGCCCAGGAGTGTGAGGTTGCTGTGAGCTAGGCTGACGCCATGGCACTCTTTCCCAGGCAACAGAGCAAGACTCTGTCTCCAAAAATAAAATAAAATAAAATATAATAAATATTCTTGAGCTTTACCCTAGGATCCAATTAAGTCGCTTGGAAACGGGTTGATCCTTCCGAGCCTTGCTTTTAAGCTTTGTTAGGCAGAATTAAAGCAGTCTTTAGCATAGAGCTAATTTGTCCCACTACTGAAGTAGTGTACTTCTGAGTACTCTAGTACTCTAGTGTACCTTCTGAGTACTCTATGCAATGCCCTCGGTATTAGGTTTTTCTACTCTGGCTGGTGGGACTAGTGAACTATTCCCAGTCCTGTGTTGGCTCCAGGGATTGTTCCATATTCTCTTTGCTAGTGATTCTCTCTCCCAACCTCTTCTTCTCTTTCTTCCCCCCATCACTCTGCCCTAGAGGCACTGGCCTCCTTGCTATTTCTTTAACAGGCCAGAGTGCTCCTGCCTAAGAGGTCTGATTTCTTGATATTCTCTCTTCCTGGAAAGCTCTTTCCCAGAAATCCACATGACTGACTAGTCTCCTTTCCTCTTCTGGTCTTTACTCAAATGCCACCTGCTCAGGAGCACTCTACGTAAGGGCCAGCTGCTGCCTGCCCCAACACTGCCTTTTCTTCATTTTATTTTTTTACACGGATTTGTTATCTTCTAAGCTGATGAACTCAATGAAGGCAGGGATGTTTTTCTGTTTTCTTTGCTATTAATCCCCAGTTCTTAGAATAATGTCTGGCACATCAAGGGCCAGACATAACTGATTGTTGAATGAATAAATGAATGAAAGAATGCAAAATAACCTGGTATAGTGCTTTGCACAATGCAACTGCAGTACATGATGGCCTCTCCCAAGTTTATACGGCTTGGGAGGGTGCTCACTATATGGGAAGAGCTCTAGGGCTCTGAGGACATGTAGGGGTTAAGTGGGGCTAACACCTGGAAGCAGAGACTTACTTAGTTTGTTTTTTTAGACTCTTCTGCACCTAACAGAATGTATATGGAGCTTAGAAAGTGCTGATTATGAGGTACTGCAAAGATCATAAATAGGAAAAAACAGACATATTTACAATAAAATATAAGCACAATATAATTCTTTGGAGGAAAGAAACTCTAGTTGGTGGAGTGGGTGATAGGGTCAGGAAGGTTACCATCTGGCCTTTCAGCTGGTTTTGACAGATGAGGAGTGTTTCTGAATCTCAGAATATAGAGAGGCTGAGGGTGGAGTTCCAACCTGAAAGACGAATGTAAGCGAAGCAGGTGACATAATGGAAGGACCTGATGTATGAAAAGAACAGCAAAGTGGATTAGGAAAGGTACTAAGGGCCAGCAGCTAAGGGGCTTTTAGTTCCAGTTGGAATCTCACACTCACATGGCATCACAGGCCACCGTTTGTTGGGTTCACTTAGAAGGCTATGTGACAGGAAGCGCAGCCTGCCGGGAGGGCAGAACCAGGGGATTTCTCTTCAGTTCTCACAGTGGTCCGAGGCTGGTCTTATGCAGCCCCAGAAGAAACAGCTCAGTGAGGAGAAATGAGACTCACATAGGTAGGTGCAGGAGCTATCCTGGCTTAGAAGCCTCTTGCCCGATATCTTTGTAAGAGATCCAGGGGCATATCTTCCAGGTCATGCCCAGTTTCAAGAGTCCCTGGCCCCAGAGAAGCCCAACGCCGTGGCCTCCTACCAGGTGCTGGTGTCCCCCCAGGCCTCCCCGTGCAGATGCAGCTCACCAACCTGGGATCGTTTCCCTCTAAGCGATGTTGCCTACTGGCATTCCGCCTTTACCGTAGCTTTCCAGAACAGAACAGAACGTGAACTCAGCGTCCAGTTTGCCCATAGACAAGGACAAAGACGTCTTTTTGTTTGTTTGTTTGTTTTTGTTTAACACTGCACCCACAAGGACTTCAGTAGCCCCATTCATCATCATAATAAGTCAGGATTTAATTGTGTCATCAGTGGGAGCCACTGGAGTTTTGCCAGGAGGAGGGTATCGCTTGGGAAAAGAACTCTGGCAGCAAGGCAGAGGACAGAGTCTGAAGAGGGAAAATGAGGGGAGGCGGGACCTGTTAGTAGGGTCACCTCCCTTTTCCCCTCACTCTGGCTTCTGCCCCCACTCCATCCATGGAAACCACTCTTGCTAAAATCACTTGCAAGTTGCCAAATCCAAGGAATGCCTCCCTCACTGGACGTTGCAGTATCAGGTGCAGTTGATCACTCTTCCTTGAAACACTCACCTCTTTTAGCTCCCATAGATTTCTGGGGTTTCCTTTACCTCCTTGGCCATTTCTTCTCAATCTCCTGGGCTGGGTCCTCCCATCCACCTAACCCCAAGGCCTAGAATGTTTCAGGGCTTGGTCCTGGACCCCACTTCTTTACCTCCTCTTTCTCCTTAGGTGCGTTCATCTGTCCACATAGATGGAAAAGGTCTCAGGGCCAACACCAGAGGTTGCTACCTCCAGCCTCACCCCTCCTCTGAGCCCCAGGCCTGCACATCCGGCTGCTCTCTTGACATTTCCACATAGGTGACCTATAGACACCTCACAATTCACACGTTAATGCCTGTCTTGATTTTCCACCAGAGATTTGAGCCCCCAGATTGTCAATTCCCTCGGCTGTTCAAGCCTAGACCTAAAGTCATCCTGATTCTTCCTTTCTGTCACTCTCCCACATCCAACCCATCAGCGTCAGCCGGTCCTCTATCACATATTCCAAATTCATCCCCTGCTCTCCAACTCGGTTGCCACCGTACCCTCATCCATCATTCCTCACCTGCACCACTGCAGCACCCCCTCCCGATCCCCTTCTCTCTTGCCCTTCTAATCCATTCTCCACAGAGCAGTGACGTGAGTGCAGGCACCCTTCGATGGCATGCCATTGTTCTCAGGCGGACTGGCCTCTCAGGTACGGCCTGGCTCCTCTGGATCCCCTCACCTTGGCCCACACTCCTGCCTGCTGTCTCTATTCCGGCCTGGAATAGGGAAAGAACTGGTGTTCCTTCAGGTCCTCGAACACACTAAGTATTTTGCCTTCTAAGGACCTTTCCACAGGCTGCTATTCATTCTTTAGTAGAGGATTTTTTAAATTGATAAGACTATTTTTTAGAGCACGTTTAGGTTTATAGAGAAACTAAGTAGAAAGTAGAGAGAGTTCCCATACACTCCCCAACCCCACATCACAGTTTCCCCTATTACTGACAGCTTGCATTGGGGTGGTACATTAGTTACAGTTGATGAGCCAATACTGATGCAGTATTGTTAACCATAGTCCGTAGTTTACATTGGGGTTCGCTTTTGTGTTGTCCATTCTGTGGGTTTTGCCTAATGCATCATGTTATGTATACACCACTGCAGTATCATACAGAATAGTTTCTCTGCTCTAAAAATGCCCTCTGCCCTCCCCTCCCCCACCAGTCCGCTTTCATCCCTCACTTCCCTTCCCAACCCCCTGGCAGCCATGAATCCTTTTACTATCTCTATAGTTTCACCTTTCCCAGGATGTCATATAGTTGGGATCAGTAGTAGCTATTTAATAAAGACTTGTGCAGTGGATGAATGGTTGAGACCCATTGTAACATTCCCTGTGAGCTCTGGTTGGGGCTGGCTCTGCAGTGGTGACAGTGAGGCTGAAGACAAGGGTACAGATGGGCACGACAGAGAGCAGGTAGAATTAACAGGGTGTGGTGACTGGCTGGCTGCAAGTGGTACAGGAGGAGTGGCTGAAGTCTCTGCTTTGCATTCTAGTCCAGGTATCCTGGAGAAGAAAATAAATAGGTAGGCACCAGTAGGATGTCTTGAAACAATTTCTTCTGCAGATCATAGAGGAAGAGTTGCAGGTACAAGCTCTCATCCTAGAGTCAGTTAACACAAGCCTCTACCATGTCCAGTCGGAACTCCAGAGAGAGGTGAGTCCTGGCTGTAGTGGGGATGGGGACTGGGGCAGGACCTGGGGTCTCTGTACCGCTCTGTCATATGACTCTGCCCCGGATGGCTCTGGGTTTGAAAAGATAGCTATTAAAATGTATGTCTTTCAGAAAGCTGTGGTGGCAAATATGGAGAAAATGCTGCAGGCCAAGCTTGCCGAAGCTGAGGAAAAGTATAAGTACACCATACAGATCCTGACGATGGAAAACAATAATCTAAGGTGTGGATGCTGCTGCTGAGAAAGACGTGGCGGATTCTCTCGAGGCGTGGGAAGGAGTGCGAGTGAGGAGTGGGTTAGGAAGATGAGCCAGGAGCCAGGTGCTCCCTAGCGATGCCAAGGCAGGGGCACTTTCCGAAGGAGGGTATGTCGCTCTGAGCCAAGGCACAGAGGAACCTGCAGAGGCCAGGCAGTCCAGCCGAGGTGAAGCGGGGCTGTGTCTGGACTTCTCTCCTTTACCTGTGTCTCCGTCTATATGCAAAACGACACAGGAAATGTATCTGCCAGTTTCTGAATTTATTGAGTTCTGTAACTGAGGGTCATTTTCAAACCCTCTGAGTTTGGTGGTTTAGCCTTAGATTCAGCTGCTTCTGGTGCCTGTGGAAATCAACTGCTCATCAGGAATTATACCCTTACCTGAAGATATATCTTAATCATCAGAAGAAATTTTGGTCTATAGTTTAATAAAGAAAAGGTATTCATTGCATTGATTTAGTAGAAAGTTCTTCTTATGGGAATTTGGTCACTAAATTCAAAACCACTACAAGTAATGAGTGAGACTTCCCCTGATGTAGGAATAAAGCCACGTTTCTCCCCTGCCCCCCAAATACCCTACACCCTTTCTACCTTTTGAGTCTGTAGTGATACATGCTCCCTTTCCTTTTACAGGCAAAACATAATTGCCAAGAATGAAGAAATTTATGAAGGACGTTCTGGGAGACTGGCTTCTAATATTACTGTTTATGAAGATGATTCTGACATCTTAGAAGATGGTAACAGCAAAGGACAAGAATAAGAAACAAAAGGTGGCTCTCTGTAGCTGAAGATGACAGGCACACCATCCTGTAGGCCTAGGGAACTCTTGTGATATTTTCTTGCGAAATGCATATGATGAGTTTGGTTCCTGAGTTGCTCTGATTCTATTTTTGTCTTTTCACAATTTGCTTTCTCCTGAGCAGTTGGGAATGTTTGACTTTTCATCTCAGCTGCACAGCTTATCACAGCTCTTCATTGCAAAGCCATGTTCTCTGGACCTGGAACCAAGCTTTATCTGGGCTTTGTACTATTTTCCCCCTACCTTTCCATATTTCATTAGAAAGAGACTGATTTGGAGGCTTTCTTCCTGTTGAACATTGATTGTTGGCATATATCACGTGTCCCCTGGGGAATTTCACTAGCCAAAAAGATAATTCATTGATTTGATTTGGAAATCTTTTTCTTTTATACACGAACCGCTGCCTTTCCCGCCTCTCAATCATGTTCCCTAACCTATGACTTAGGAGGAATTTCTGATGATTCTTGCCACCTTCCCTAAACCATCACCAGCATTCAAATGCCCACGGGGCAGGCAACAGTGAAGTGGGCTGAACTTGAGGAAAAGCAATCCTCCATAGAGGAGGATTCCTCTATGGGGGCGGGGCTGGGACCTAGGGGGTGGGGCTTGTTGAAGAGCTGGGCGACCGCCCTGTCGGAAGGGGTGTTCCTTGGACCCATTGCCAGACAGGAGCATGGAGTCAATGTTGTCAAATATTCTGATTTTTTAAAAGAAGGTATTCTGGTTTTGATGTGCCATCTCCCATTTTTTTAAATGTTGGCAACAAATTGTAAAAATACAACTATGTGAGCCAGTATTGGGAAGCTCAAGTGAAACATGCCTATGATGCAAACATTTTCCACCTGTGAGGCGCCATTGGCAAAAATCAAAAAGTAAGCAAACACAAACACAATCAAACACAAAAATCTCCAAGGAACAGTAAAATAAGATTATGTTTTATTCTATTAAAAATATGTTTTTGAAAAAAAGTTCTGAAAAATAATGCAATCTTAAAGATAATTTGTAAAGCCATAGAATAAGCTGAGTGCAGGTAGAAAGAGCAGTGCAAATGCATGAAAGGAGGAATGCAACATTAGTACGAAGCAAATATGTTGTCTAATATGCAGCAATGTGCATATTATCAGCCATAGGAGAGGCTAAATAAAGAGCTTGGCAATAGAGTATTAAAAAGCTTGTAAAATAATCATAATTTTAAAAGAATTAGATTAAATTTTTCATTTAAAAATGTTTGCATAGTGTAAAAATTAGCTTTGGCAGGAAAGTTAATATATTAACTTTAACCTAAAATTGTGCAAAATAGCAATAAAATAAAGTATCAAAAAACAAATATAGTGTTATACAGGTAAACATAATATCAATTAAGGGGGAAGAAGAGTTTTTTCCTCAGAGTGAAGGAAGGCTGTGGCATCTGTTTCCCCATGCGTTTCCGGTCATCCTTATTGCTCACTTTATAGTTCACCTCAGTCAGGATGGTGAGAATATCATCACCTCTGAAAAACATCACATAACACCGTGACCATTCACGAGGGAAAAACAACTGATGAACTGACTCATTGCTGTGCTCAGTGATAGTTTTGTCATTCTTTCTCTCAAAACATCAGTCATTTGAAACAATAAGTTGCTAAACCAAGACCTACCCCAGCTTTCCAGGTAAATTAGTTTTCCCAGAGCTTAATAACTTACCTTTGGTTTGTGCAGGATCTCTGTTGACAATCAGAAACCTCAGTGTCAGTGTTAGATTTGGTTTCTTTCCCTCCTGACCTGTGCATATGTCACGCTGCTCCACGTATGTTATTTGGCCCCACCAATCGCCTCGATGTCCCCAGTACTCTCTGCCTCAAATTGACATTGCCTCTGTAGATTCATCTTTGATGCAATCAAGCTCTGGGCAAGGGAAAGTTGAATGCCTCCTGCAGCTCCCCCCACTTTCTTCTTACCAAGGTCTCTTAGCAGTTTTGTTGGGCAACCTCTTCATCTACCTCAGGAGCTAGCAGCTAGCACCCAAAACCTAGCAGGACTCATGGTTTGAGTTACAAAATGAAAACATCGCACTGATGTTATGGTTCACTCTTTTTATATACCATGGGAAATTCTCGCTCTTCATATGCTTAAAACATAATGAGATACAGGGTGGGAAAGAACCTGCAGAAGATTCCTTGCTATTCATCTGTCAGTTGTGTGTGCATTGGGGTGAACTGTGACACATGAAACCATAATTTAACTAAAGGAAGCAGATGATACAATAAATGAGGGAAGGATATTTTCCCACATTTCGTGGCTTCAAAACAGACCAAATTAGTGGAAATATTAATATAAAAACGTTCCTACTCTTTGCTACTTATGTCCCACAATGCACCAAGAGGGAGCTTGGCTAGCTTATTATAGACCTTTTGGCCATGTGTGGTGGTTCAAGCCTATAATCCTAGCACTTTGGGAGGCTGAGGTGGGAGAATCGCTTGAGCCCAGGAGTTTGAGGTTGCAGTGAGCTACTGCACTCTAGCCCAGGCAACAAAGCGAGACCCTGTCTTAAAAAAAAAGAAAGAAAAGAAAAGGAACTCTTGACAGAGCTGGAGGATGTTAAACATTGATGTAGGTTGCTGCCTTCTTGGAAGACTTCCAAAACTAGTTGAGTTGGCTCAGTCATATTTCTGTCTAAAGAGAGAGCTGGACTATATGACTTTACAGTCCCTTCCAGCTCTGTGATACCCTGACTGTACTTTGAGGTGCTTGAATAAAGGAAAAAAGTATCTCAGTTTTTCCATCTACAAACTAAAATTGTTAACACTTGCCATTCTCCCACTTTCCAACTGATCTGGGAAGCGTAGCTACGTGATCCACAGCTAGACATTTACAGATGAATGGAAACCACTCCACTCAACATTTCTCTGATCTGTCAATATTGCCTCAACCATGATGCCCTTTCTAATGGGCTCTGAATATGAATATCTAGTAGTAGTGATGGGGAAAGGGCCACATGATATAACACTGAGGAGGGTTGGGTCGGCAAGTCTTACCGAGGACATCGTTCTCTCAGGCTCTGGCAAAGTGACTGGATATACCAGGTCCCTTCCAAAGGGTCTCGATAGGAAACACAGTTGTTCACAGTAGCCATTCCCAGCAGAAAGTCAGCCTCATCTGGAATATATCTCTTTTGAAGTGATACGTCCATTTCTAAATAGGCTTCCTTCCGCTCTGAGTCAGTCTCAACTGGTATACCTTTCTGGTAATTATCCCCTTGACAAGCCTGAATAAAAAAGACTTTGGGTTTTCCAGCAAGAGAAGGGCACTTCAAACCAGTGAAATAAGATGTCAGCTCATAGATGGAGGCCTCCTCTCCATCAGAGCCATAGACGATGCCCTTGTCTCCATGGGAGAGGATACAGCAGATGAAGCAGTCTTTGTTACCGTGGTCCATGCTTTGGTAGACTTTCAGAACCTCATGGATTTCTTTTGCTGTGGAGTCTTCAAAATGTACTACCTCAAAATGAAGCTCATTAAAGGTCTTGCTTAAAGCATCTGAAAAGTGAAATAAAAAAGTCAGTTATACCACAATAATTCCCAGACCACAGCCCTGAGCTGGAGAGAATGGTGGTCTTATCGTTGATAGATGATAATTTGAACCAGAGGCCCGGGGCGCTGGCTCCTGCCTGTAATCCCAGCACTTCAGGAGGCAGGAGAATTACTTGAGGCCAGGAATTCCAGACCAGCCTAGGCAACATATTGAGACTCTGTCTCCACAAAAAATAAAAAAAATTAGCCAGTCACAGTGGTATATGCCTGTAGTCCCAGCTACTAAGGAGGCTGAAGCAGGAGGATTGCTTGAACCCAGGAGTTCAAGGCTGCAGTGAGCTATGATTCTGCCATTGCACTCCAGCCTGGGCAACAGAGCAAGACCCTGTCTCAAAAAAAAAAAAAAAATTGAACCAAAAATTAATGAACAAGACCCTCTATATTGTTATAGTAGCTGGATTCTACAGGCTTTTAATATTTATTGGCACCAGCTGAAAACATTCCCAAACCCTGAGGCAAATGAGGAAGGGGAAAGTATTGAGTGTTATTGAACTAGTTTACAAGATGAGTACACTGTGACTCAGGCTTACTAGCAAACCAATTTAAAAGATGACTATATTACTTACATAATCAGAAAAAAATGTTTTTAATAAAAGATTGATATTTTATGCTGAACTCTCTCAAAGTTATTTCTGTTTATCAAAAGATTTGGATTAAAAAAAAAAAAAAGACCTATTACAAAAACAGTTATCCTCTCTCTATCTCTCCCTATTACCCAGTCTTCTAGTTTGGATTTCTTTTGTCTTCTTGTCCTACTTTCTGAGACTTTATCTTCTACATTATTGAATTTTTCATTTTGTTGCTCATTTTTTACATTTTTAAGGATTTTTTCTTATTTGTTCCTTTTGCATAACATCCTATTCTCTTATCGACCTTTTACTCCTTCTCTAAGAATACTAAATATAGCCTTTTTAAAGATTGCCTTTTTCCCCAACATTATCGTTGTTTCATTCCCATTGTGTTTCATTTTTTTCTTGTTTGTATTGCCTCTTTTCTATTAGAGTCTTTCTTCATATGCCTGATGATCTTTGGCTGTCCATTCATAAATTAACTAATTAGTCAATTAAAAAGTTGACTGAAAACTCTGTCTTCATGAGTGTGGTTTGTTCACTGGTGGACTTCATAACAGGGTGATTGGTTGGGGACCTGACCATTTCATTAGGGGACTCCCCCAGATGCCATTATCCGCAGGTCTTTTATCTGGGGCTTTCAGCTTCTCCAGAGGAGAATCCACATCTACCAGTGCTCTTAGAACCAAGTTGGGGTAGATATCTAACTTTATGACGCCAGTGGAATGAATTTTCTTTGATCTTTCTGTCTTCAATAAGATGCTTCACTGCTTCCTTTGCTGGGCCCGGTATGCCCAAGTATAGAGACTCTCGTTCAATTTTATAAGAAAATAAACTCCCTATTCCTTACTATGGTATAACAGGGACAGTTCTTGGCTCTATGAGATAAGAGTATGGATCTAGGGGTATCACGGTGCCTTATATAGGCTTTCAAAGAATCTTCCTGTTTTCAGCTCATTGCCTCACCTACACTTTGTACTTCCAATTCCTAAATTTTTCCAGGATGCCGAGGAGTAAGTCTGCCTCTTTTCCATGTTCCCTTCTGCAATCACTTTGGTTGTAGCTTTCTCTGTTCTATTAAGTCTATTACATCTCCTCCTTTATTTCAACACCACAATTTTTTTATTTTTATTTTTTTTTGAGTCAGAGTCTCACTCTGTTGCCTGGGCTAGAGTGCCATGGCATCAGCCGAGCTCACAGCAACCTCAAATTCCTGGGCTCAATCCATCCTTCTGCCTCAGCCTCCCAAGTAGCTGGGACTACAGGCACGCGCCACCGTGCCTGGCTAATTTTCTTATATATTTTCTAGTTGGCCAATTAATTTCTTTCCATTTTTTTAGTAGAGACGGGGTCTCACTCTTGCTCAGGCTGGTTTCAAACTCCTGACCTTGAACCATCCGCCAGCCTTGGCCTTCCAGAGTGTTAGGATTATAAGCATGAGCCACCGTGCCCGGCCCCCAAAATTGTTTGAAACCTTTCATTAGCTGTCGTCTCCATTTCTGTGGTGTAATTCCTATATTATATATTTTGTAGTCCTTCTCTAGCATTTTGTCCCTGTTAGCACATCAGAGCTAAATATAAATCAGTCCAGAGATAATCTAGCATTATGAATAGAGAAAAATAACTGAGCTGCAGTGGATCTGTGTTGATTTGGAAGAACTTTGGCAAGACTAATGTAGTGCCTTGATTCTGTGGAATAATTCTGATTCCTTTGGAAGTATGATATGTTAATGAAAAAAATGGCTGTAAAGCAGGTCGCAAGGCACTGCAGCAGAATGGGGGCAGTGGGGCATGTCTCAGAAGAAATGATTCACAAAGCTGGTCTACTTTTATTCATTCAGCATGAACATAAGAACAGGAACAGAAAAGCAGGACATGCAAACTCAAATGCCAACCAGAGAACAGTTGATCACGGACCAGATATAAGAAAATGAACTGCCCAAAATAAAATCAAATGTTATTAAACTGAAATTTTTAAATAGCTAATGAATAGAAATCAAAGGCCTGAAACTTTTTTCAATACCAAGTGCATGATGACAGATGATGTCATCAATGCACCCTTTTTTTTTTTTTTTTTTGAGACAGAGTCGCACTCTGTTGCCAGGGCCAGAGTGCCGTGGCGTCAGCCTCACTCACAGCAACCTCAGACTCCTGGGCTCAAGTGATCCTCCTGCTTCAGCTTCCCAAGTAGCTGGGACCACAAGGCATGCGCCACCATGCCCAGCTAATTTTTCTATATATTTTTAGTTGGCCAATGAATTTCTTTCTGTTTTTAATAGAGACAAGGTCTTGTTCTTGCTCAGGCTGGTTTCGAACTCCTGACCTTGAGTGATCCTCCCACCTCGGCCTCCCAGAGTGCTATGATTACAGGCGTGAGCCACCGTGCCCGGCTAATGGACTTAAGTTTTGTGGCTTTTTAAAACCTTAGAATATTGGTGAGAATTCAACAAATGAAAAGAAAAAAAAAAAAAAAAAAGTAAAACCTTAGAATAGATTTGCTTGAATAAACAAATCAAATTTAAGAGAAACCATTACAAAGTCCTGATAATTATAATCTATCAGCATTAATTTTCTAAACTTTACTCCATTTACAGAATAACTCAATAACTGATGCTGTGAGTCACGAACACTATTTTCAAAAATTCTTTGATCAAATCAAAATTATTATAAGAATATCTCAATGGCTGGGTTAGATGATTTTCATTATTATTTTTAGTTGAAACCATTTTTTATATTCATAGACCACAAGTTATTTTTTCACTTATCTTGTAAGTTCTCAGTCTTAGCTTAAATAGGCTAAGCAGAAGAATTTCTAACTGGTTTAACATTTGAAAATGCTATTTCTATTAAGAATCCACAATTTCTGCTGCACTCAATAGCCCTACTTAAATAAATCCAGCCTCTATAAGAGTCTTGATACCAAGGCAATTTTTTTACCTAATGCACTCCACAGACGCACTATTCATTTAGTTGAATTAAAAGCAAACCTTGTTGCTGATTTTCGTTATGTCTTTTAGTAAGATTTGATATTTTATTTTTATACATATATTTTATTTAAAAAACCTATTTAAAATATAAAAATCAGAAAGCTAACAAATACATAAGAATGTTCTTCACCTTCATAGGGAAATAGGTTTAAATCTACTTTCTTGAAATATGTGGCCCTTCGAGTACAGCTCTTATTCTCTCTCTTTTGATTAAAAAAAAAAAAAAAACTATAAGAAATATTCCATTTCTCTCTTTTGGATTCTACTGTACCTTTATCCAAATGGGTGCCGTTTCTGTCCCTAATTCTCTGAAGCTTGTCCACTGACTTCCGTGCTTTGCTAAAATCATGGTTGTTGAAGATCAAACAGTATCCTCGAGGTTTGCTTTGCATTCTGTAAACTTTGTCAGATGTCTGGAAAACAAAAAGCCAACCCAGGAGCTAACTCTGTGGGTCAAAGACTTGAGATGGGAACACACAACTCCCCAGTAAAAGGTTGGACCTAAGCCAGACAGCAAGAGTACTTTCCATTGCCCCAACCCAACTTGGGGTCATTTCCCTGAAGAACTGGTTTCCACCCATTCTCCACACAGGATCCCTCAGACCTCTGCCCCAACGTTAGCTGGAAAGTCAGTGTCGCAATACTTGGGCCTCCTGAGCACTTTGCACATATGTTAATGTTGTCATCATATTGTGTTATCATTATTTGTTCTCATTTCTGCTTCCCTTACCATACAGAAGACTCCTGGAGGCAGATAACATCTGTGCCAATGACTTAGGATGTACTAACTTGTGAGAGCTCAACCCAGAGTTCTTGACTGAGTACATGTCTTTGGGCTATGACCTTGTGACTCTCTTGGCTAAGTACTCAACTCATCTGTGCATCTTGGCTAACAGCTGAGGGCCTGCTCTTCATGCAGGAGATGGTGTGGTCCCAGGATCCTTCTGTCTCAGCCTCCCAAGTAGCTGGGACTACAGGCATGCGCCACCATGCCCAGCTAATTTTTTCTATATATTTTTAGTTGGCCAATTAATTTCTTCCTATTTTTAGTAGAGTCGGGGTCTCACTCTTGCCTAAGCTGGTCTCGAACTCTTGACCTTCAGCGATCCTCCCACCTCAGCCTCCCAGAGTGCTAGGATTACAGGCCTGAGCCGCCACGCCCAGCCAGTCCCAGGATTTTTAAAGCTGATGGCATAACCCAGCTGTCAGGACCACAGGGGCTAGTGGGGAAGCATGGGCTGGTGAGGCAGGTCTCGGCTACACTGTAGGTTATAGTCCAGACCGCAGTACCTGACAGGACCAGTCCGAGGTGGCCCTGTGTCTTGCTTATTTCATAGGGCTATTTCAGTGCTGAGATACTCAGCATATAGCTGGAAGTCTGCATAGTCCCTCAAGGAAGAGAGAAGGGCTCTAGGCTGGGAAGCCAAATTCCTGGCTCTGCTATTTCATACACTTAAGACTTTGGGCAAGTAACCTAGTATCTTAGTATGTTTACTAAGATATTAAGTATTAATACCTACTAAGTATATTAAGTATTTACTATTAAGTATGCTAAGTATTTGCCAAGTATATTGAGTGTATTTGCTAAGCCAATGAGATACTAAAATTTAGTAAGATATTGAAACTTAGCATCTTTAGCTACTCGAAGGGGACAATGCTTATAGAGTGCTATACTGCTTACAAAGTGCCACATTACTTTGCTTAATCCTTGACTTTCAGACTGAGAGAAGTCTGGTAATTTTCTCAGAAGCCCACACTAGTGAATGGTTTCTCTCAAGCCTATTTGAGGTATTCAGGGGTTTCTCTGCTTTGTGTCATGGGGGTGGGGGATGGTGTGGAGTGAATGGGCTAATAAGTGAGAATATATTTGGTGGGTTGTTGAAGGTTACATAAATAGAAGCCATTATGTCTAGAAAGGAAATTTTTCTGCTAGCTCACTGAGATGAGAACACAGAGACAGCCAGATTATGAGGGTCTGCTACTTACACCTAACTACAAACGGGAAACATTTTTGAAATGTCAAGCTAAAAAAAAAGGCTTTGCTTTTTCCAGTCCTGCTAGACTCTTCCCCCAAATCCTCACCCACTGAGGCTGACACTGCTGCTAGACGAGGTAGGAGGCTTCTCACCCCTCCCCTCCAGTACCTGGAATAACTAGTACTATTCCAACACTTTTGTCTTTGGTCTTAAAATTAAAAATTTAATGCATAGGAAACTGAAGAGGTCACATTTTAGAAACTGTCACTTTTTTAACATGTCTTTTTGTGGGTTTTCTACAGTTCTCAAAACTTTCAAGAAGTTTCTGCCCCTTATTGGTTCATCTGGCAGCTTAAAAAAAAAAAAGAAAAAAAGCTTACAAATACAATAACTAGAATCTGCAATGCAAAGGGAAAGAGGATTTGGAGGTTTCCATGTACCTGTGAATCACTGTCTTGTTCTCTTGGAGAGTCTGATATTTCCAGCATTCTGAATGTCTCTTCCCCTATAAACAATGAAGATACACGTCTAGAATGAGACATAGCAGGAAAGGTACCTTGGTAAAGAAATAAGTATGTCGCACCTAGGACAACATAAGGTCCCTTTAAAAATGAAAATTTACAGACTGCCTTGAACGTAATCTCCTTTCAGTCCACAGAGATTCTGCAGGCAAGGCAATTAACACGCTTCTGAAACACAAGATCAAATAGTCTCATCACCAAAGGGAAAAACATACCAAATAGTGCCTTAGTTCTACATTCCTCCACATGGGCAGGTTGAATTTTGTGGTATTTGTGAGATATTCACTAATTAAGCCACTAGCTCAGGAAGAGCTATTGATTTAGGAGTACTTTACTCCTTAAAGTACTCTTAAAGTCTTAGGCTCAAGCAGGCGTGGGAACAGGGAAGGACTAGCTTCATGGACATTACTCAGACTTAACCTTTAAGGGAGATCCACAAAGAGCCAGGGTAAAAATACAACAAAAATATTAGCAATATTAATACTTATGGGGTGATGGCTTTACTGGGCTGTTAAAAATCTTTCTGAATTTAAAATCATCTTCAGTGAGTATATATAATTTTTATAATCAGAAAGAATATTTGATTAATCAAAATTTTGAAGGTGATCCTTGACAGTTCCTTTTCCTGGTCCAGGCTAGCTTACCCAGGTGGAAAAAGAGAAAGAGGAAATTCAAAGGAGTGACTTAGTGTTAAAAGTGTTAAAAGAGGAAGTGACTTAATCAAGGAAGTTCTGAAAAATAATTTGAATCTAGCTACCTCATGCATAATACAGGCAGCACATATCGAGGGACAAAGACCCCACACAGAAAAAAGTTGAATATTTCTTACTACAAATTCTGCACCTATTTCAAACTTTGCAGTCTGTGCCTATTGACAACTGTTTCTACACCTTTCAAGTGTAGAGAAGGTGACTACGAGTCCCCACTGCACCGTCCTCCTGGTATTAGGAGAGCAGGTCCATTAAGCTGTGGATGTGGTGGAAGGTTGTGGGGAGGAGGCATGAGTTCAGCAGAGAGTGAATTAACTAAATAGGTCTTTAAAACGTATCTCCAACCAGTACCATTTGAAAATTCGTCCGGCGATCTTTCAAGGCTCAATCTTCTCTCTGAATTAAAAGAAAACAACCCCCCGCCAATATTTGATTAGAAACAATTGTGACATGGGACAATTTGTCAATTCACAATACACGTGGCTGATTTGCAGCTGTCAGGTCGTTTCTACCTGTGCTTAATTCTTCATAATCGCTGATTTTCTTCAGCAAGCTCTTGTCGATTCTGTTTAAGACACTTTTCAGGTTGTCCAAGTTTCCTTCCCCTATCATGACCCTCTTCTCCATTTCTATGAAAACATCAAGCAAGCTCTAGGAAAGAGAGAAAGTTGGAAAACTGGATTGAGCCATATTAGCTTTCAGATTAGATTTTTTTTTACTTCTACTTTCTCCCCAAACCAAAAGTCTGCCCTCACTTCCCAAGCAAGCAGACCCCCTGAGAGTTCAGGCAGGCAGCAGACTACTAGCAAGGCGATTCTGTTGTCTGGCCCAGAAAGACAGAAGTGAGAAGACAGAGGGGAAGCCGATGTCTGATCCCCAAGCCCTGTGCTCAAACCGCCTCTGGATGCCTTTAGTGAGGATGCATGGCTGGGACACAGCAGCCCGGTCACCATGGTGACGGCCTGGAGGACTGCCTCACACCCCAGCAGTGACTCTGGCACCCACTCCCCCTCCAGACCTCATTCACACAGACACACAGACACACAAACACACACAGATACAACACATACACACATCAAAGATACACACATACAGACACAAGATATACACACACCACACAGACATGGAGAGACACACAGACACATATACCACGCACACAGAGAGACATACACATAGACATACAGAGACACATGCACGATACACACAGAAACACACAACACTCAGAGACACACACACACAAATACAGAGGCATAAATACAGACACACATACCAAACACACACAGATACATACACCACACACAAACAGAGACACACACTACACAGAGAGAGACATGTAAACCAGAGATACACATATAACACACATACACAACACAGGCATACACAACACACAAAGACACACAACACAGAGAGACACATGACACAGACACAGAAAGACACACACGGACACACCACACACACACACACACACACACACACACACACAGTTCCAGGTCCCAGTTTGTTTCAGGACTGCAGAAGTGGGCACAATGTCAGGCCCACCACTGCCCTTGCAGGCTCTGCTGGGTCCCACCCTGGGCTGTGGCTGCACCCCCAGCCTCCTCCTGGCTCCCGGCCCTGCCTTGCTCCCTGATTAGTGTGAGCGGCACTTCACAGCATAAAGGAATCGAATCAACAACACCCTGCCTGACAACCTTCAGACATCCCCACTGGCTGACCAACTCTCAGGACTGAATCTCGACAAGATGCCAGGTCTTACCATGTCATCTTCCAGTTTACATTTGGGGATGTGCTTTCTCAATAAAAACTTAAAAACTCCCATTTGCGATTCAGGCACCTCTTGTGAAATCTGTAAAAGCATGACCCTGTGATAGGAAATGAAGACGCTTTAGAAATGCTTTCCTAAATAATTTCTCATTTGATAAATGCAGTCACAGTGGACTTGATTCCAATGCCCCCTCCCCCTTCAAAATAAAGGCAGTTAATGACAAGATTCCTGAGTCGAGTCCTTGGAAAGAGGCTGGTATGGTGACACAGAAGTCGACTGACTCATGCCCAGCGATTATCAATTTATCATGCCCACCCTAACAATTTAAAGTTTCATCAACTTTGTCTTTCAGTTCATTTCAGTTAAGTGAATCTTGTTTTTCCTTTGTCTTTCCCTATAAAATCAAGATCTTGTTACAATAGGAAAAAGCTTTGTCTTTTGGAAATTATGCTTTTCAAAATGCAAGTTGGATCATCACACTTCTAAAGAAAACTGGTCAGCTGTTACCTTCAGGAGGAAGGTCAAACGTTTGCCCCCATAGGCCACCACCACTACAGGGCCAGAAGCCCAAAACACACCCTGCTGCACTGCCGTCTCCCTACTTTATGCTGAGTCCCCACACCCTCGTCCCCTGTCTGTCTGCAGTCGCCCACGCCCCACAGACAATCAGCCCAGGCATTGCCTGAGTGTCCCCAGGGCCGCATTCACTTCACTGTGCCTGAGTGTCCCTGGGAGGATACCACACATATTATAATTCTCTGATTTTTCTTTTATTTAATTTTCTTTCTTTTTTTTTTTTTTGTGGAGATCAGTATTCCAAGCAAAGTGGAAGCCAAAAGAAGGCGTGCGTGGCATTCTAATTTCAGCGATTTCGTTTTTAAACCCAACAAAGTTAGTGAAAGACTAAAGGGGTCCATGCTATATAATGGTGAAGGGTCCACTAATCAATCAAGAAGAGAATATCAATTTTAAATATATGCATTGCACCTAAACTTAGGTGCCACCCAGTTTCATAAAGCAAACCTTACTGAATCTCAGACAAATGGATTTAATAAGCAACTCCTAATCACCGGAGATTTCAACACCCCACCTGATGGCACAAGGACAGACCTCAAACAGAAAATTAATAAATGAAGAATGAACTAATCCAAAACCCCTGGAACAATGGGTCTGCGTAGACATCATTAGACAATTCTACCCACAAATCCATAAATATACGTTCTTCTCATCAGCTCAGGGAAATCTTTCAAGACTGACCATAATCCCCTAGGACACAAAGTAAATCTCAAGAAATTATAAAAAAATAGAATCATACCAGTACCTACTTCAGATCACAGTGAATAAAATGAAATCAACCCTAGACCAGAAACTCACATTTCTACACAAAAATTGGAAATTAACAACCTCCCCACTAACATGATTACTTTCATAATGAAGAAATCAAGATGGAAATAAAAAAATGTCTATGAAGAAAACGAAATGGAGAGACAAGTTTATTCAACATCCTCTGGGACACACATGCTAAAGCAGTTTCTGAGAGGAAGTTTATCTCCATAAATGCCTAATAACACAAAAGCAAAAGATACAAAATACAATCTAATGAACAACTCAAAGAGCTGAAAAAGAACAGACAACCCAACCACGAGAAGAAGTGAAGTCATACAAGATCAATCAGAACTAATGAAATTGAAAAACAGGGGAAGCTATTCCAGGGGATTAATAAAACAAAAAGTTGGTCTTTGGAAAAAATAAAAAAATGCTGACACACCATTGCAAGCAACAAAAAGCAGAAAAAGAGACAATTCTATAATAAGCCCATCAGGAAAAAAAGGAGATATCACAACTGATCCAAAGAGATACAACGATGATATTTAATGAATACTACAAAAACCTTTATGCACAACAAACTGGACAAATGTTGGAGGAATATGGACACAATTTCTAGAAACACACAGCCTCCCCTAGGCTCAACCAGAAAAAGATGTTCCTGAACAGACCAATCCAAAAGCTTGAAATAGAAAAACGGACCAATTAAAATCTCCCATAAAAGGAAAATCCTCATCCAGATGGCTTCCACACCCAATTTTACCACACTGTCAAAGCAAGAACTAGTACCTATCTTGCAGAAACTAATTCCACACAACATCGAGAAGAACGAGAAAACCTCCCCGACTCCTTTATATGAATGCGAAATATTACTCTGATACCAAAACCAGGAAAGGATGCAACAAAAAAAGAAAACACAGAAGCTATATCCCTAATGAAATATCAGACTGCAAAATTTTTCAAACCAAAATCTTAAGCTAACGAATCCGACCGCTTATCAAAAAATAATCCATTCACGACCAACGTGGGACTTCATCACAGGGATTGCAGGGATGGTCAAATAATGTAAATCTATAAATGCCATTCAGCACATAAACCAGGAAGCAAAACAACAAAGACCACATTGATTCCTTTCAAGAGATGATGAAAAGCTTTTGACAAAATTCAACAACCTTTCTATAACAAACACTTAATAATCAGGCATAGAAGGAGAACTACCTAAAAAATGATAAAACACATATATGACAGAACATAACAACAATCATACTGAATGGGGAAAATTGAAATCATTCCCACTTAGAACTGGAACCCAAAGAAACAGCTGCCCACTATCTCCACTTCTGTTCAACATAGTGCTGGAAGTCTTGCTACAGCAAATCAGACAGGGAAATGGAATCAAAGGTATCCAAATAGGGGAGAAGAGATCAACTTTTCACTGTTTGTGATTGATTATGATGTTGTATCTTAGAAAACCCCAAGGATTCACAAGAAACTCCATGGAACTGTAATGAATTTAGTAAAGTCTCAGGATACAAAATCAATACACAGGAAATCAGAGGCAGTCATATACGTCAACAACATCTAATTGAGAACCAAATCAAAGTACTCATTCCCTTTCAACAATAGCAACAAAGAAATTAAAGTACCTAGGGAATATTACTTTAACCAAGGAGGTAAAAAGACTCTACAGGGAGAACATGAAAAACACTGGGAGAGAGGAAAATAGCAGAAGAGTGTAAACAGATGGACAATCATACCATGTCTCATAGGATCGGCGACCCAATATCATCAAAATGGTCTATATACCCAAACTAGAGTACTAACAGATTCCAATTGCAACAATACCTATTAAAATCCCCATCAGCATTCTCACGATATAGAAATTATAATTTTACTTCATATGGACAAAGAAGACCCCGAATATCAAGAGCAATTTCTAGGCAACAAAAAAAATGAGGCATTAATATGGCCAGATATCAAACTATACTACAAAAAGCGTGAGTAATTAAACAATATAGGCTATTTGCACAAAAATAGGAATATTGAACCAGTTGGATGACAGATCGTGAGAATCCTGATATAAAAACCATCCTCATATAGCCATCTACTATCTTTGGACAAAGCAGACAAAATACTGCGGGAAAAAGAATCCCTCTTTCCAAATTAAATTGTGCTGGGAAAAACTGGATAGCACTGTAGAAGGCTAAAACCAGGATCCACACACCTTTCACCTCCACAAAAACACTCACCGCTGGATAACAAACTTAAACCTAGTATGAAACTATTAGAACCTAGAGAAAGAAGTTGGAAACACTTCCTAGACATCTCGGCCTGGGCAAAGAGTTTTATGAGAATTCCCCAAGGCAATCACACAGCAACAAAAAATAAATAAATGGGACTGATGAAACTACAAAGCTTCTGGCACAAGCCAAAGAAAAAAGTCATGAAAAGGTAAACAGAACAACCTACAGAATTGGGGAGAAAATTTTTGCATACTTATGCATCGCATTCAAGGACTGGATAACTAGAACACCTTTAGACTCACAAAATTAGGAAGAAAAAATCAAATTAACCATTAAAAAGTTTGGGGCAAAAGGCATTTGAACAGGAAATTTCAAAAAGGACAGAAGAATGCCAACTAAACATATGAAGAACAATGCGTCCACATCTCTAATCATCAGGGAAAGCAAAATCAACCACAACGAGATACCACTTAACCCAGGAGAATGGCCTTGTTCAAAAAATCTCCAAGAACAATTAAATGCTTGGCGGTTGGGTGCGGGAGTGGAGAGAGGGGGAACACTCCTACACTGGCTGGTGGGACTGCAAACTGTTCACCTTCTGTGGAAAGCATATGGAGAATCTTAAAGCGAATAACAAGTGATCTACCATTTGATCCAAGCAATCCCATTTGCTGGGCATCTACCAAAGGAGTCCAATGACACTCTATCAAAAAAGGCACCTATCCTCGAATGTTTATAGCACGCACAATTCATTAATTATTGCTAAGGCTGGTTGGGAAACAGGCCCCAAGGCCCATCAATCCAAGAATTGGATTAATAAATGGTGGTATATGTATACCATGAGTAACTTATTTTAAGCTCTAAGAAACAATGGTTTCGAGTATTAGCACATTCTTTATTTTCCTGGTTAGAGCTGGACCATAACTAAGTGAAGTATCCAGAATGGAAAAACACAGCACCAATAATTCTCCAGCAAAACTGGTTACTGAAGTAGCACCTAAGTGGACCACATAGGTATTAACAGTTAATAGGGTACTGGAGCAGGTGGGGGGGGGCGGAGGTATATACAATACATAATTGAGTGAGATGTAGCGACCATCTAGGGGGGATGGTTCATGATTGGAGACTCAGACTTTTGGGGGGGAGGGGAATGGCATTTCATTTATGAAACCCTTAAAAATCTAGTACCCCTAAATGCGAATTTAAAAAATATTATATATATCGGTAGTCTTGAATCTATAGATTTTTTGTAACTTAAACGGTTGTACATAAATGATTGAAGGTTTTATTTATATTGATCTATTCTTGGTTTTTTTATTGAACTAAAGGTAGGTGGTTCTATGTACTAAAACATTTACAAAAAATGGTAAATAATACTAAAAATTGGAATTAAAAAAAAAAAAAAAAAAAACCACAATGAGATATCACTTAAACTCAGTAATGGCCTTTATCAAAAAAGTCTTCCAAACAATAAAATCTGGGCGTGGTTGCGGAAGGGAGAGAGGGAACACTCCTACCACTGCTGGGG